CAGCTGACATGTAATGCCAAACATTCCTGCTATATTTATAATATACTGTAGTTATTATACATGCATAATATAGAGTTTTCCTGAAGCTTGTTCTCTGACATGTGCAGTGGTTTCCTTAGAAGAACAAGGCTCAAATTATACTTTCTGTATTAGCTGCAAGGGTTCATGCCATGAACATCCTGTCATCAGACCTCTGTCCAGATGTCCGCATGTACCCATAAATGTACGACAGTGTGGACTGTGTGTCTGTGTTGGAGTATATAAGGGCCTTAAGAGCCCTTATTGTAAGTGTAGCCAAGTGTCTCTGACACAAGTTATTTATTTGAATGAGATACGTGCATGCTAAATCCTGGCAGCTTACATTGTTCATCAATACTATTCCTGCTGTTATTCGATGAAAGATAAAAATAATTGACACAGTGATGACGTTTCAAAGTCATCAAGTGTCATAGTATTTTAAAGTGCTGTGTCTTAATGTGGCGTCTGATGAGCATCTGTTACTCAATTTGTTTTTTCGTCTTTGTCTTGTGAACATGTCCAAACCAAGTGGGAAGCTTCCGGAAGCGAAGTCTCTTAAACCTGCATTCTATTGAATGGCCAGCAGGGGGCAACTCTTCTGGTTCCATTAGAAATAATGGCAAAATGACCCTACTTCTAAGCTGATTTATTACCTCAGCAAACACTTTCATAATGTGTTTATGGTCTCAATCGCTAGTTTCAAGTCTTCTCTAATAAAGCATGACGTTCATTTAGTAAATTATAGTCCCATTTAGAGGAAAATAGACCATAAAGCAGAGTATGCTTCAGGGCGGGAGTATCTGTGATTGACAAGTCGTTACCATGGCGACCTGTCAATCAGGTTAGAGTGACTCGTACCCACGGCACTGTGTAAATTTAACCAGCCCCACTGAAAAAGCTTATTAGGAGTTGGCTGTTCATTTTCTCTGGCGAGTATATTTAGTTTTGAGCCTGTTTTTGGCAAGACAAAATTATCATTCCGGTTAAAATGACAGCTTCAATTACAGATGCACCTAGTTAAGCAAGCTAGCTAGCTCCACACGGATCCGTTGGCTCCACCGTCTCTTCCAAATATAGTCATGTCTGGTGTGGCTGGTTGCAAAAAAATCCACATGGTGGCGCCCTAACAGCCAAACTCAAGGATTCAAAACGGCAGCCAACAAACCATCGGGTGACATTACGATGACTACGTTCACTTCTTTTATACAGTCTATGGTCCCTACAAATGCTAGCATTTCTTCTTAGCAAAGTGTTTTTTTCCTTTGGTGCTAATATAGAGGGCAGATTGAGAATCCAAAATACATATGGTTGGTCCTCTGGGGAGCATGAATGTCTCCAGTAAATTTAATGGCAATCTGCTCATTAGATTTTAAATTTGGCTTGTGAGTGCTGCCAGACGAAAGGTCCCCCAACGTAATCAAGAATAACCCTCTTGTGTCTGTGAACATCCGTTTCATGAGACTCAATGGGAGTCAAAATGTCACATGTGACACTGACAGTATTTGGTTTTGGTGTATGTGTCCTGAACTCTCCTCTTTGATCAGGAGGTAACAAATCTCTCGCTCTTCCAACTGGCAGCAGAGGCACTGTCTGTTTCCCCTGGCCTGCCGTGGTTTTTCGATAACAGTCTAGTTGTTTCTCTCACTCTGCATCTTCCTCTCTTTCTAGTCTTAGCAGAGCAGTCAGGCATTTCACCATGTAAGGCTGCAGAGCTGAACTCCTCCTGGGAAGGAAAAAAAAGGGAAGCGGTTTTTCTTGTGGACCATTTTTAATAACCATTTTCCACCTGAAAATAAAAGCAGTGTGTTTGTGAAGATTGAGAAGAAGATGGTGATAATGATAATGGATCGTTTAGACTCTTCTTGTCCATTATATAATCATATACATGTCTCACCACTTAAGATAAACATTATGGAAGAGGTTATTTTATTGCCTGAGGAATCCTTTCTTTTAACCTCTCAGGGAAGTTTCAGTATGAGCAATGCTCTTAGGATTGCCCGTGTTCACACTCCCACAGCTCCACACTTAGTGTAAAGCCTGAAGTGATGGCCAGCTCCTCACAGGTTAGAGGGCCTTGCTCAATGGCACCTCAGTGGTGGTAATGACTTTCACTCGCCACACACACATTTATCCTGCCAGTAATGTACATTGCGGCTGTGAGTTGCTGCATTACTTCCTAAACATTTTCCAATAATCAGTAACCCTCTTTCTGGCATCAAAAACTAATCAAGGGAAACGTAACACTGTTTAAATGTAATTAAACAATATTACAGTAGTTTGACTGCATGCTAACATGCTCACAATGACAATGCTAACATATGCTGTTGTTTAGATAGTATAATGTAACCCATGTTAATTTAGTGTGCTAGCATGTTAATATTTGCAAATGAGCAATAAACACAAAGTACAGCTAAGGATTATGGGAATGTCATTAGTTTTGCAGGGATTTTGCAAATTAGAATTTTGACCTGATTAAAGGTCAGGGGATCACCAAAGCTATAATTCATCCTGAGGGGAACATGTATATAACACATTTTGGTAATCAGTGCAATAGTTGTTGAGACATTTCATTGACATGTGTCAACCTCATGGTGGCGCTAGAGGAAAAATTCAGGAGATAATTAGGATGCATCATCTGGGGACCATTAATGTCTGTAAGGGAATCCATCAAATAGTTGCCAAGATATTTCAGTCTGCATCAAAGTGGTGGACTGACAGACCAAGAATGCTATCCAGTTAGCTAAAAAGCAAACAAAGGAACCTTGTGAGTTGTCTTGGCTAAAATCTTCATCCCTTTGGAGACAGATGACCTTTTAAATTGTTTTACCTACAACATTTCTTGATACCGCACTGCATGTCTTATGTCATTACATCATTCCACCACCATTGGGCCTCTGGGATTATTTGTTTTGTTGTATAAAGGCCAGCGTTTGTTCTGTGTACCAACACAAAGGCCTGAAAAACACCAACTCATCCTCCCTGTCCCAATAGTTAGCCTTTTAGACTGTAACCGTCAGACTTTAAGAAGACAGTACTAATGACCTGGAGAAGGACAAATCTGACCAAAAATTTCATAAATACAGCATGTCCATTTGTCTAAGATGTTTTATTCAGTTGTGTAGAATTTTAATGGCCCTTTCTTTCTTTCTGATGTGTTTTTGCATTGTACATGGAACATAATTATTTTTATCTCAGTAGATTTGACGGCTTATTTTACTCTCCTGCTGATCACACTTTTTTTTTTCACGTCATGTGTTTGTGAAAGAGGGGAACTGTCTGTTTTCTTTAATCCATTTTCATCTCCCACTTGAGCAGCCCAGCTTTCCCAAAGGGAAGATCAATGTTTCACGTTATCTTTGGAAAAAATATAGTTGTCATAAAAGAGGGTGATATAAACATCTCCTTGTCCGCGTCCTCAGAAGGTCTGAAGTGTGTATCCATAGTATAGCAGTGAGTAGCAATCACAACAAAGCCGACTGCCCCGGTACATGACTGACAGCCTGTTTACATGCAGATTCTCCTTATAAGGCAGATGCAATGCTTTCTGGGCCGCGGCAGGGGGGTTATTTTTACTTTTTCCAGACTTTTTTGAACCCCTTGTTGCTTTTGATGTCTCCCAAGTGGAGAACACTGTCCAGAACTTGAAAATGAGTTGCTGTGACACAATAAATTCTCTGGTGTTACTGTGCTCTTGCTATCACACCAAAAAAATCTATTACTTATTCTCCAACAGCAGCAAAAATGGATGTTACATGGATGAAATAACGGCAGTACAAATTTAGATAACAAGGCTAAATTATGTGTGGTCATATCCAAACTGTATATTTAGAGGTGCCATCAGCTGTTTGTGGTTCGTGCCAAATGTATCGGGCTGCCAGGATAATGAAGACAATAGAGTAGCCCAGCCGTGATGTTTGATTGTAGGCCAAACTGCAAGCTGGCTCTGCCATGACGCGCTGGTCATTTCCATCCAACACGTCACAGATGTGTTGAAGGATGAGGAATCCAAACATGGTCACCGGCCCGTTACATACATTAAGGATGCTCACCAATGGCACTAAAAGGAAGTGTAAATAAGTGGATGAGCACAAGAAAAGAAATTCCCTTTCTTCCCTTTTTTCCTGGTCAGGATGGATCAGCATTGGTGTCTTTTTCTGGCTGAACATATTTGATTTGACTGAATTGAAAAAAGCTAGTCTAGCTTCTGTAAATGTCATCTCTTATTTAGGTTTCTTTCAATGGTCTCTGAAAAGTAAAATGTGTTGGTGAGGATTACTATTCATATTTTAAAGATACATTTGTGTCTGCCAGAACATTTATTAGAATTTAAAGTATACAAAAAAGTACATGGCAGAGAAAGCCATACATCATTATAACTGTTGGCTCCTCCATTATCCATGATACAAAGCTCTCTTCTAATGTAATTTTCCCGACTTTTTAACTGTGATATCTGCTGTTTAAAAGATGTCTAAGCCTACAATCAAAGGTATTATGGCCTATGGGAAATGGTTATTGTTACAAGCTGCTCAAGCAACAATATTATTACTATTTTAATTACCATCCTTATCTACATATGTGGAGTGACGATGACAGCGTTGAGCAATGCTATGTTTTAATGCTGGATTTTTTGTGATTTGCATCATCACAAGTGTCATAAAATTTATTTATGCCAAAAATAAACTATTCAACACAGACACTTTAGCTTGTCATAATGTATCGTATAACCATTTCAAATGCGTTTCGACTTTTTATCTTTCATGATGAGGTTCCAAGCTTGAGTACATTAAGTATTGTTTGGTTGGTTTAACAACTTTCAAAGTGTAAGGACTCAAACCCAAATTCCTGAACAAAACTGAACTGGTACATAGTAGCTACTGCATGTATAATTCACCAGACCTGGTACAACCTTGGTATCCCCAATCTCCGAAAATCTTTTCCGGGATGTCCTGCCTCTCTCCCTCTCTCTCTCCCCCTCTCTCTCACTTTGTGTTTACAGCCTTGTAGAGCGCTGCATATCTGACATTTCTCTCTCCAACTCCAACCAGCTCTGTGCTCATCTGAAAGGTAAGAACCAGCATCCTCACAGCTGATCTTTAATTCTGATTTCATGTTACAGTAGTAGATGGGGAAGATAATATTGATACAGATGATGTATGCCAGATGCTTAGAATTAATCATCAAGATTAGATGATTAAAGATGTTATTATTTCTAGTACATTAAATGACCATGAAACAACTTTTAGTAAAGCGTAAAGGCTTCCTGAAGTCAGTCACAGTCAGACATCATTGACCTTAGTATGTGTGTAGTAGGCTGTGTTTTATGTGAAGATGCAGAGGAGCACTGAATGAATCACTGCTTCTTATAAAAAGTCATTGTTCACATACAGTAAACATAGCTCTGAACAGAGGGGCAGGGGGGATGGAAACTGGACTGAACCTCCCAGAGGGATAAACACTCATCTGTACTTCTTCCATTCCCATCCAAAGCACATGATTTTATTTTAGAGTGCTGAGCAGTTTTATAGCTTAAGTTTAAAGTAGCATTCACTAACAAATTATATTGACCTTAGGTTTAAAGCCAAACTGGTGTGATATGACAAACTGTTATGGTAAAACTGGCTATAAAAGAAGGTAAACTTAGGAGAATGATTTTATTAGAATTATGATTCTTGCTTAAATGTTTGTGTTAGAGTCCTGTGGTGATCCTGATGCGTTTTCATCTTTTGACTTTTCTGTATTCCACAATGACCTCAAGTTGGTATGTGGCCCTAGATACACATAAAGAAGCTAAAGAAACCCTACTAAAGTAAGTTTTGTTTGTAAATGCAATACAATAAAGAGGAAGTAAACCTATAAACAAATATCCAAATGCAGAAAGATTTGTTAACCCTGATAAGATTTTTTCATAGTCATTCATTAATCATCAAGAAGCACATTAGCGGTCTATTATCTAGCACAAACTAAGATACATAAAGTACATTTACCGCGGTCACACAGTTTCTGTAGCATCACATAATTTATCCATCTATCAGCAGGTGTGTGACACTTAGCATGCCCCACTTAAAATAATAGGTCAGCGTCAACACACCAATGCATCTGTCTAACCCACATTTTACTACTCGATAGCTGTTTTTTTTTACTGTCAGTATGCATGTGCCACAAGCTGTAAGAAGTACTGCAGCTGTTTTATTTACATAAATATATAGATTTTGATTGAATCATAACTGCAAAGACAGGAGAAGAAACTAAAAAACTATCTCAGTATCTGTACAGACGGCTCACCTCAGCTGTTAATTCTTCAAAATAACAAAGAAGAATAATACCAAGTATGGGAGTATGGTGACGATACTAAATATGGACACACACACACACACACACACACACACACGCACACACACACACACACCACTTCTCCCAAACAGTGTTTGTGATGGAAATATTTCCGTCTGAAACTTTGTTGTCAGTAACTTTCGTATCTGACGACACATCGACACATCAAAACCCCTCTGTTGCTCACACTGGAGGTATTTAGCTCTTGGCAACAGCAGCTCATTATAAAAGTGCAACATGGTCCTTTCAACAGAGACAAGAGTTATCTTTTACAGTAACAACCACCTAAAAGTAAAACGCCTCAATTACGCAGTTTACTAATGCTTCAAACAGTTACACTTGAATTGTGAGTTGGAATATCCATTAAATGAAAAGTAAGCAAGAAAATAAAATATTGAAATGAACAAAATATGTAATATTCTAATAACAGGCCGATATACCTGTTAAAGGACTTATAATAATATAATTAACTGTATTTAATTATACTGTTTAAGGTCCAGTGTGTTATATTTATGAGGATCTATTAACAGAAATGCAATGTAATATCCGTAACTATGTTTTCAGTAGTGTATAAACCTTACATAATAAACCTTATGTTAGACATTTCTATCCATATACACCTTGGATAATGGAGGAGACCTCTTACATGGACGTCGCCATGTTTCTACAGTAGCCGAAAGGGACAAACAGCTGTACAGAGCGCGTTTAGTCACTATGTTGAATATGTAAAACAAGAAGTATTAGTAGTAAGGAGGACCACACGTAGGGGTGGGAGAAATAATCGATTCTTAGATGCATCGCGCTATGGACATGGAAGATTATGAATCAATTAACAAATGTCTAAAAATCGATTATTAAATTTTAATTGATAACGTAATGTTGACGGAACACAAAAGACAGAACTCGCGGAAGTGCTGCGCTCGGACCGTCTGTGAAGTGCACACAACAGAGAGACCACCAGTGTTCCCCTGTATTCCGCACACCACCGCTGCAGAATGAATAACCACCCTACTAAAATGTCATACAATCATTAATATCAATGCGAAAAATATTAGCAGTAAGTTTCTGTCTGGCAGTAAACGTGCAGTGTAGGTCACAGTGTGTCTGTTAATAAAAGTTTGTGGTTTCCCTAACTGCTGGAAAAGTGAAGGCGGTTAGCGCAAGCTAACATCTCCCCTGTACATGGGGTTGCTCTCAGTCCCCCACACCAGACTCCAGTCCTCTGAATCATAATCGAATCGTGAGGTGCCCAGAGATTCCCGCTCCTAACCACACGTACTACAGAGCGTGTCGGCCACCGTAGCTTCTCCTCCCTGCTTGCAAAGGGAAGGGTGAGCGGTGACTCATGGTGCATTCATGTGGTGTTGTAATAATCTGAATCTGAAAGAGGATTAAAGTGTACATGGATATAAATAAGTAAACAGAGCAGTATACAAATATATAAGAAGACAATAAAAACTTTGCTTGGGGTAGTTTATATTTTATAAAGATATTTAAAGAGGACCACATGTTGACAGTTTTCACAGCCTTTTTGTTGTTGGATTTAGAAATTAAAATTGATATAATGTACAACCTCATAGAGAAAAGGTAAAAAGTTTGTTTTTTTATTGCTAAATTTACAATTAACATTAGAAGTAATACATTTGTTATGATGTACTTATTTTTTCAGAGGAGCAAGTTAATGCACAGTGAGCCATTAGTTGCAATTCACAATGCTCCCCACTAGATGCCACTAAAACCTATGCACTGAACTTTTAATACTACAGAAGTAACAGATTTGTAAATTTTTCTTTGTAGAAATTTAAGATCAGAGATACATTCATTAATCTACAGTGGAGAACTGTGATTGATAAAAGCACAGATGACTGTGATCCACATCTGAAGGTTCTGGCATCACCCAAATGGTTACTCATTGACTTTACTATTTACTTTTAGAGCCAGAAAAAACAAACAAAGAAACGTATCCAAAAGATGAAGGATGGAACTGAGGTGCAAACATTGAAATTACCAGGGCTGACAGTGATGGGCTGTTATTAAGTAGGATTAATAACTCCTTAATGGAACAATGATTGTCAAAATTGGCACCAAGTCATAATAAAATAGTGAAATTAACTTCCTTTTGGGGGGGAAAAGAAATTGGGAGTTTAGATTGTCTTGGAGCCACCATCTACTGGTCATTAGAGGTACTTCATCTGAAGATATCAACTTTCATCATTGATAGATGGCATCTATACTAAGCAACTTTTTGGCTTGTGGCTATAGCCATTTACTTTTAGAGGCGTTGAAGGATAAAACATCTGCTTTAACCATGATCAATTGTTTGTGTTATTGGTTAATGTGTCAACAAATTGGATTCAGGGCTGCCACTCTCAGCCTCTTAGCAGCCTGCCCAACTCCTCCAGTTCCTGCGTCTCGTCCAGTTGCATGCTTTTATGTAAAAGGCATAACACAGATCAATCAATCACAGAGCAGAGAAGCAGTACAGACAGAGAGCCGAGGATAGCCACATGTGATGAAATAAAAATGGGAGAGAGATAAGACTGGGTATATTCACTCATTTCGCTTCTGTGGTAATGAGGATTTACTTGTGCACTAGTCACAAAAAAGAATGACAGTCTGTATTCCAGGGTGAAATGACTGGCAGGCAGCACTCGGCACGTAATGATGCGGCTGATGTGCACAGACGAGTGGAGGATAAAGTGGAGCACCAGTCACTCACACGCTGTCAGTCACATAGTGGTGAAGCCCCACACACAAGATGAGTCCAATTTAACCACAAGGTGTCAAAGGTCAAAGTTCTGGCAGGACAAAAATGGGAGAAGTAAATGAAAGACAGGAAGAATGGAGGTTTTATCAGAGCTGTATTGAGTGATTCAAGGGCCAAGCTGGACAGGGGCCTCACAGTCTGCCAGGGATAAAAACATGCATTGTTTTATGTTTGTTATGAGCTGTTTAGAGGAGGCCGGTAATTTAAAGTCTCATGGGAATTGGAGATTTTTGTTATTTATCGCAGCTGAGTGGAGAAGTCACTGCCTTAAGATGCAGTTCCTCTAACGGCCATTCGATGGTGGCAACATGAAAATCTCTCATTGCACAGATTGCAAAAGTTAGTCAAATCAGTCACCATTTTTTGTTTTTTTTGTTTTTTTTCCAAACATGGCAGCGACATGGTAAAATCTTCAGTCCAACATGTCCATTCAGAAAACTATGAGTAAAGACACAAAGGCGAATGCCAGCTGTCAAAAGCAGAACAGAGAGGATGGTCCTCCAGTGGCTTTTTCTACTGAAATTACTTATTAAATTGTATTATTTATAACTTTTTGCTCATTAAAATGTTGAGCTGTTAAAGCATCATAGAGCAAAATACACTACATTTAGAAAAGAAAATGGAAATAGCAGAGTGGGTTTGGATGCATATTGAACATAAAGGGTTGGCACAAGGAGTAACACCGTGAATGTGTCAGCAGTTTAAGTCAATCCACTTCAAACAAAACTAAGCCTCTAAATATAGGTAATTTTAGGTGAGACGCTGTTTTAAACTCCAGCACATTTTAACGTACACGCAGAGAGGTTGTGTAAGTCTTCAGGGCTTAGCAATCAAACTTGAAAACCTTCTGCTGTCCGGTCAGAAGTTAAGAGGTCTCAGAGCAGACTGACGCTCTCACAGAATTATCCCATGGGGTATGAGAAAGTGTGTGTGTGTGTGTGTGTGTGTGTGTGTGTGTGTTTTAAAGGTGTTAACGTGTCAGGTGATAATGGGTGACTCAAAGGCAGATTAAAAGGTGGAAGAAACAAAAGTGAAATGATAAAAATAGATGTGTTGAAATGTCTGTAGAAGGCATCAAATGGCTTAAATGACTCTTGTTGTCTGTATGGATCTCAAACTGCAGCAAAGTAACAGGAAAGAGGATATACAATGCACAGATTATCACCCTAACATCAGAAATCACTAAGAATCCAAAGCTGTCACTATGTCGTCCCTTTTTATATCATAGCATGTTATGAACGGTGTACCCGGCAGGGGCCACCAGCAGGACTTTTAATCTTGTTAAAAATAGAAAAGAACTTGGCAGAGTTGCGGCACAAGTGGTAAGATGTTCACTGTTTGTGGGAGCCACTAATGCAAGAGCACGGTCACCTTGTCACACTGACTCTGATCTCAGAAGTCGCAGATCAGATGACAAAATGGGATTTAGCAGAGTGTGGCAAGCCTACAGCTGCACTGTGAAGCTCATTATTTCTGCTAACATGCTATATTATCGACATGCAGTGGAGTGTTTAGACTATTATGAGAGGAAACATTATGACTTACTCTGTCTGGTATAACCAGCAGCTTATGTTGGCTAATGTTACACCACATTTTCAAAAAGGCCCCAACAACCTATTTTCTCAATCTGTTTGAGGAGGATAAAAGGTTCCTGTGTTTGTGTTTTTTGTCATATTCTCTTTGGTTTGAAGTGGGTGGGTCTCAGTTGGAAAAGGGTGACGTCATGGATTTAAGGGCACCAATCAGGATTTCAATCAAAATGAGTCCGTGAGTTGTTTGCTAATGTTACCAGCCCAAACCATGCCCACACAGTCCTGATAAAGCACATCAGCAGAGCTTATTGGCTTTTAAATTCTTAATAAATAAAACTTTTTCTTACTTTAATACTTTAACTTCGTCTGCTGATTATTTAGCCATGGATATTTAATGTTTAACATTTTGAAACAAAGTTTTCAGGGGCTTTAAAATGAAACATTTTATTGTATGCATCAGCCTAAATAGTAAATTTCATTAATCATATGTGTATTGTATTTTAGTTCTTTTCATTGCTCATTTTCCTGTGTATGTACACTGTCATTCACATTGCTGTCATGACATATGCGTTGCAGTCACTCCTTGCTTAACACATCACCAGACCTCAACTGGCGCCTCTGAGCAGCTCTCTAATCATCACACCATGTACTGCGATACAGAAAGGTCACACGGGTTCTCAACCAGGAGACACCACCCGCAGGAGGGCGCTGAAGTGCTCCTCAGTTTCAGATGTTAATGATAGCACGAAGGCAAAGTGAGAATAAACCTAACAGTGAGTCTTCAACAGCCTTTTCTTACTGTCTGTGTTTTTTCCCACCTCCTTTTCTCACTAGCAGAGAGAAGATATCTGCTTTTGTTGTTACCAGGACTGAACCACATCAGGCCAGGCTGCATTAAAACACCTGACCTGAGCTCATCTCCAGACAACCAGCAGCAGTTTGATTTCCCGATTTCCCCTCTTCAAACCAGCCGGACCAGCTCAGTCCAGCTCCACTCCGTCCAAACAGGCCGTGCAGCCTGGAAGAACTCTTAACTCTTACCATCCCATCAGATCAAAATCTAACCACTCCGCTGTCTCCATGGAGCGCGTTCAGCACATGACCAAGTCGGCCATCCGCCGAGCGTCTCAAATCGAGGTGAATCCGCAAGCCAAGAGGAACCTGCAGGAGCTGTTTGTCAACTTCACCCTCATCCTCATATGCCTGCTGCTCATTTACATCATCGTCCTGCTGAGCAGCTGAGAACAGCAGACCCCTATACAGAGAGTCTGGCTGGGCTCGGCTGTGGACAAGGGTTCGGCTGAGATATGGGCTTTACTGCTGCACACAGATCAGATTACTAATAAAGCAATAATAGCATCCCCATATATCATCCTAACCCCATTTGAAAGCAGCTATGATGAAGGATCATGGAGGTGGAATGAGTCCATGTGGAAACAATAACAGCCAAACTCTTTCAAATAGTTTCTATGGGAGCTGATCAGGGATCAGCTTCCCTGTCTCTCTTTCTCAAAGGGAATGATCAAATGTGACCCGACTTCAACAGTTTAAACTTCACTGATATGCTGTATGTATGTATATGTGCCTGCTGCTCATTCACAGTGAACACCCTGCTTGCATTACAGTGTGTTGATGTAAACTGCCTCCATCCTTACAGACTGTAAGACAATGTCTCCTGCTTAAATAATAATAGCTGCAACGTGCATAATACTAAAATACCAATACATGACATTACATTGTTTAACTTCCATTTCCCATGAGCCCTTTTGCTTCCTGCTGCCCCCCCCCCCCCCCCCCCCCCAAACACCAGGAGAAAGATAAACATGCTGGAAATAATGTTTTCCATTAAGTATTTTTACTTCCTCCTTGGTCTGCCACTGCCACATACCACACACAGTAGGAACACATGGATGTGACGTCTGTAACATCAGAACCAGGGCCTAAAGATCCACATTGGTGAAAAAGAAACCGGAACAGGGAGGCAGCAAACAACATGGCTTAGTGTGATAGGCTGAGGTGCCTGTCACTAAAAGTAAACATGCCCCAAAACATAGCTTCTCCACCTAACTATAATAATAATAATCCTTATTTGTAGAGCACTTTTCAAAAACAAGTTACAAAGTGCTTTAACAAGTGTAAAGAATAATACAAAAAAACAACATAAGAGCATGAAAAATTAATATAAAATTAGTAAAATACAATAAAATAAAGTCAAATAAGATCGGGAAAGGCTTTCCTATAAAAGTATGTTTTAAGAAGGGACTTAAAAGAGTTCACTGACTCAGCCGACCTGATTTCCTCAGGCAGGCTGTTCCAGAGCCTCGGGGCCCTGACAGCAAACGCTCTGTCCCCTTTAGTTTTCAGTCGAGACTCTGGAACAGATAACAGACCTCTGCCCGAGGATCTCAAGGTACATGCTGGTGCATATGGGACTAAAAGGTCAGAAATATAACAAGGCGAGAGGCCATGAAGAGCTTTAAAAGTGATCAATAGAATTTTAAAGTCAATTCTAAAACATACTGGGAGCCAGTGTAATGAAGCTAAAATAGGAGTAATGTGGTCATATTTCTTTGTTCTGGTTAAAAGCCTGGCAGCTGAGTTCTGGACAGTCTGGAGTCGATCAATAGATTTTTGGATTAAACAGGTGAAAAGGCTGTTGCAATAATCCAGGCGTGATGAGATGAAGGCGTGTAAAATGGTCTCGGTGTCCTTAAAAGTTAACATAGATCGAATTTTTGCTATATTTCTAAGTTGATAAAAACATGATTGAACAAGCTTTGTGGTGTGCTGCTCGAAATTTAAATTACTATCAAACCAAACACCAAGGTTCTTTGCCACAGGCTTAATGTGATTTACTAGGGAACCAGCAGATGGCAGTATTTGATTTGCCATCTGTTGAGACCCGATGACCAGGATTTCTGTTTTGTCTTTTCAGCTGGAGGAAATTAACTAGGAGTTGCCAAGTGTGAAGTCCTTTTTCTCAGTACGACAGGTGACAAAGGCCCAATACCAATGTCCACCCTCACAGACTCACAGACTTTGAGGCGCGTTCCCAGTAAGTCCATGAGGGGTTAGGGCTGTCCCACTGTGAAATCATCATGTGATTTTGAGCCCTCTTCGTACATCTGTATTTCTGCAAACTTTGCCTGAGGGAAGCTCAACCACTGAGCTTAAGATTCTGTTAATGTGTTGCTAACAACGAGCAGAAGCTAAAGATTATGCTGTTAAGAAAACTAATACTACAATCAGCAGCTTAAATCAACTCACTTTCAGATTCTGGGTTCACTTTGGAGGAATTTGCTCTGAATCATGCCTCTGACTGTCTTCTTCCACGTGGCAGAATTAATGAAAAGATTATTGATTTTTGAACTAATTACTGCCAAGTTAACAAGCCGATCAGCATGTCTGACATTAAACTCAAACAGTTTGACTTATTCTTGTTTTAACATATTTTAATAAAACACTTGATATAATAAATAAGTCTAAGTACTACTACTGTAAGTGTAAATGTAAAATACTGGGGGCCTATAAAGTATGTGAAGTATCTACTTAGTGTCATCCACCTTTAGGCAGCTTACCTGCAGGTGTTTTTGATGGGCTACATGAACATTTCAGCCATGTCATTCACTATGTAAAGTATGGGCTACTGTGCTTGGGCTTCAGAGATAAATGTATATCTGCTTGAAAGAGTTAAGAGAGCACAGCCTGTGACACAGGCCTGACATATACAGTACATGCAGTTTATCTGATGTGAAGAAATCTTCTCTTTGCATGGTGTGATTTCACTTAATGACGTTGTCTGTTTCTTTTAGTTACTGAAACTATCACTGACTATACTGCTGACATTTTTGGTCAGAAAACGATGTGCCCTGATTGTGTAGTGCTGCCACAAGAATCTAATATATAATGACAAAATCACATCATTGCTTTTGAGAGGACAATTTAACAACTTCTACATATATGGCATCTTCACTACATTTGCCATGGCTTAAAATGTAAAAATAGAAATTATATTACATATTACATTTGGGATCAGAAATGATTAAGAAAAAATATTGCATTTTTGTTCTTGTATGCATGTTTGGAAGATTGTACCACTTTACTTTTAAACTGTGGAACACCAAAGAAATTGCATGTCAATAAAAAGTGTTTTCTCTTGATGCAGATGTGGAAAACTTATTTACTGCACACAAATATGGACATAGTGGATGTAAATGTATAGGCTAGTTCAAGTCACTCACTCCAGCTTCAAAGGATAGATTGACCAGACAATGGCTCTTTGAAGGCGAATGGATCATGAGCATAGCCATGTTTTGCTCAATTAATCTAAGATTTTTTTTTAAAGAAAAACTCTGTTTAGAGGGTAGCTTTGGTTCAAAGTTACATACATACATACATCCTGGACGTCCTTAAATCTGCTACATTCAATAATGTTCTAAGTTACAAACAACGCAACAAATGACTTGATTGAATGACTAATTTAGCTCAGTTTTGGTTTTACAGCCCACAACTTTACCCAGCCGGCATATGACCGACCTTCAATGTTGAAATATGGTTGAAATAATGTCAGTTGTTGTTTCAACAGTGAAATAACGTTGATATAACGTTTAATGCTAAATGGTTGAAAAATGTTAACAAAAACACTTCTAAATCAACGTTGAAATTTTTACAAGATCTGTACGTTGAAACAACGTAATGTTTTCAACAACATACAACATAAATATCTGCCTTATAAAGTATTATTATGATCATTATTAGCATTTAATGATATTCTGATAATACCGCCTTTCAATATGTTAAAATATAATTATTATCATTATAGACAACTCTCCAATAATAATTTCAACCTCAAGCTGAAACTTTTTGCTTTACGTGATTTTGTGTGGATTTACTGTGTGCTTGCCTAACAGTTTACCATGCATTTTTTATTCAAACGCTGTCATGAAAACACCATTTGACCAATTAAATAAATAAATACAGACTGCAAATAAACTAAATATACACATTTCGCTACGTAACCACGCTGAAAATACTGTTATTGGTTGTTTCACCGGTGTACTTCATGATTGGTTAATCTTTCTGTCTTCCAGGAAACTAGCCAATGACAATATGCGCGCCTATTTTAAGTTTAAAAATACGTCCGTTACTGTTTGAGTAGGTGTGTGAGGTGAGCACGAGAGCTCGTTTTGGAACATCGAAGCTTGATTGGAGGACAGTGGTTGTCCATCACACAAGGCGGTGACTAGAACTGGATTCTATTGGCTCAGACGGTCCAGACACTTGCGCATGCGCGAAGTGGGTCTGTGTCGTCGTCGTGAATTTGGAGGTAACAGCTCAAACGGTAAGCAAAGTTTTTAAAGCCACATTTTATAACTAGAAATAGAAACAAAATAAATTTTGAGTGTGCCTGAATCTTGTCTATATATTAATACGTATTGTGTTAATTAATATTGGGTGTATGGGCAGACTAGTTTAACCGCGATCCGCCGTTGTGTGTGCGTGTGTGTGTGTGTGCGTGTACGGCAGTACGAACCGCCTTTGTGTGCTAGGGTGTTAGGGATGTCTCTGTTGGTCGAAGGTGGCACATTGACACACTTTCCATCCACAAACTTGAAAAATAAGGTTGAGATTTCACATTCTTCTTACTTCTCTTTTCCAGAGATTTGGAAGAACACGAACTGAAAGTCTCTTTCAACGGTGAGTTGTCCCCATACCTAACCCAACCATTTGAATCTGAAAGTAACTGTAAACCTTAAAAAAAAATCATTTACATTTTTGTAAAATTGTAATACAGGTTGATGTGGAAGATATATAAAAAATGAGCACAGCCTACCTCATTGGATTGAATGTTTTTATAACTTATTTTCAAATTTAATGATTTTGTTTATAAAACATTTAGGCTTGAAAATATTGAGTTTTTATTTTCACTCCTAGATGTATCACAAAAAATGGAGACGACAAAATGCACAATTACGCGCATTGGTGGAGTCTAGTGACTCAGATGAGAATCCAGGTCCCTCAGATGAGAATCCAGGCCCCTCTTTTACTGATAGCCCAAAAGACATACAGACACAGGAGCAGTCTGATACAGGAGAAGACGAGTATCGAGATGATCACCACCCGCCGGACAGTGATGGTGAAAGTGATTCAGAAATTTGAACTTTGTCCGAGGAGGAATCAAGTGATCTAAGAAGTGATTTGGCAAAATGGGCTGTAAAAAATAAGGCGTGTGTAAAATTGTTCTGTGAAATGTTGGCACACTTGCAGCCATATAATAAAGCACTTTTCTTACGCCAGTGAAATGTCTTTATTAATTTGCTTTGACCAATCTGCTTCTTTCTAGCTGGCATGTCCGCAACCTTAGTGTTTATGTATCCATTTCAAGTTGTTTGGTGTTACTGTTGAACACATCAAAACTTTAGTGAAAACAGTTTAACAAAATAAACTGTTGAAAAGCAGGACTTTATAGTGACGTTGAAATTTCAACGTTGATTGGATTTGCAAAATCTAAACTAAAATCAATGTTGATTCAATGTTGGCGAATTCACCTATGTTGAGAAACGTGACGTTGGAATGACGTTGCAATTTCAACGTTGATTAGATTTGCAAAATCTAAACAAAATCCAACGGTTATCCAACACTGGCACCTGATGTTTCAACAGTGACTCAACGTTAAAATGCCAGCTGGGTAACAGTATCAATTAAAGTGTTGGAAACGTCCATATTAATTTTCAGAATTCGCATTATGTTTTCTTACATCTGGATTATATCATTATAATACTGTCTCATCTTCATCAAATTTTTTAAAATAATAATTCGATAAATTGTTGCAGCCCTATTGTATGCACCACAAACACAAATAACCAGAATAAAACTAGTAAATAAATCTCCATAATACATTTTCCTGTAGAAATGGCTGGAAACACAGTGACACACACAGCCATGACCTAACGTTAACATTACTAAGTTAATGTTAGCTTCACAGAAAAAAAAACATGAACTTAAGCACTAAGGTTACTACAAAGTGACTCACCAGTTTGCTTTGATGTAAGGTGTCCACAAATGCTCTCCAAAACTTCTCCAGCAGGCCAAATATATTCCATTCTTCATAAATACAAAAGTTGGATTTTAAGATAGTTTCACTACTGTCACTTTCCTCGGTTGTATTAGCCGCTGTAGCTTCCTCAAAACCTCTAGCTAGCAGAAACCATTAAAAGAACCCTCCTTTTGTAAGTGAAATGTGACTAATGGTTAATTGAGTAGCTTCATTGAAGGGACCGCCAATCAGCAAGCTCTCTGACATGTTTTTACAGTTTTTACCTAGCAACTAACAAAGGCAAACTCCTGATAGGGCACGACGCTGGGGTATTTCTTTTATTTTCTGTCTTGAGTTTTCCAATAAATTTAAAAGGTGCTGGAGGGTAACATTTTGAGTGAGAGCAACATATACATTTTTTTGTGCTTAATTATTTTTAGAATATAAATACATAAAATGAGATGTAATAATTGCTACAAGCAGCGCCCTTAATAACAACAGCAGGCACGTCAAACACTGTATACAGCTCAAGTTCAAGTACAAGCTCCTTTTAGGACACAGAGCTGGACAGTGCAGCCAATATGGCAGCAAGCCCAAAACCCATTGACCAAATTCTGGTCTGCTGTGGTGTTTGGCTCACATCTTTAATTTGTGTGAGGTGACCAAAAACATACAAGGCTCCTGTGACCACAATGTGGTATTTCTATGAACAGAGGATCGAGGCTCCTAAAATATGTTGTAAGGGGGCCCAGAAGGGAAAAATGTCAGAATGTCTCAATACTCAAATAAATAAAACAGCAAGTTAAATGATTTAGCTAGTTTGTAATGATATAATAATCTAAATACTATAACATAACACTCCTTACTCACACACATACACACTAAAAGGAGCACGACAAAAGTCTTTATCTCACAATCATAATTTTACTGTTCCATGACATACAACAGAAATAAGATATAAATATAAATAAATATTGTTGTTGCTGTAATTGTTATATATTTTACTTCAAAATGGCAAGACAGACATCATTAAATGATAAGTCACAAGGGTGACATCAAATCACTTTCAACTCAAAATATAAACTGCAAAACATTTACAATTTCACTTTATTTCTTAAAATGTTTAGATGCCGCAATCTTTTCTTAAAGTTTTTCAAAATTTTTTAAAGTTTGGAAAAAACTGAGTTGAAAGTGAAATGAACCAAGCCCTGATCAGCATATCGTATCATATTGAAAAAAAACTTAACAGACAATAAATGTTTTAATAAGCTGCAGTTTCTATGGTTCACGGATGACCTGCTGATGCCAGATGTTTCCTCTGTCAGTTGTTGAGAAACAATAGTTGATATGACCACAAGAGGCAGGCTCCAAGAAACCTTTTAACGGAGTGGTATTCTCCTTTAAAACAGTCCAGTCCGGTGTGGCACAGATAAAAAACATGTATTAAATCATATCAACCAATGCAATCTGAGCATGTAAAAGCATAACGAAAAAACAGATAAATTATTCTTAATTTTTGCCATTTCAAACTAGAAAACGTAATAAACAATCTCAACACTGCATCCATTTAGTAGCTGGAGCTTTCTAATCTTTGCCAGGAGATGGAGTTTGCCCGGACGTGTGTTATCAAATCATCAAACTCAATCTGCTGATGAAGCTCATGCAATATGACGGTAAGAGCTCCTCAATATCATGTAGACTTGTTTTTAGAAGACAAATAGGTGAAATCATCAGAAGGGGAATAAAAGGAATGGCAGTAAAATTGGATGTGATTGTGAGAAAATGTGTTATTAAGAAAAAAAAATAAAAAGAAACAAGACTTCTGCCTCGTCTGAGAAGTCTAAGCTTGAATGTCAACATTTAACATAGTCATTGAATAAATATAATCTTCACAGTGCGCATGGAGGAACGAACCAACTGTGGTTCAGTGTCGGGGCTGCGATCCCAGAGAGAACTGTATTTATTGGTCCATTGTCTTTGCTGGGGTTTGTCACATTACATGTCAATATATACAAATAAACAATTTAATATTCTTCATATATCAGCGTTGATGACATGCAGCATATAACTAAAGCTCCAATGTCAATTATGCTGCATTCGTGTCATAAGGGGACAGCTGGACATTAGAATGTCGTGACAATTTTGCTGTATCCTTTTACAAACTGTGTTTTATAGATAGACGTCTGTGAACGTGACCGCAGCTGTTTCAGACTTCAGGCAATCAACAAGAAGTCTACAAAGATATTTACTTTCAAATTCTTTATGTGATGGCAAATTTTTACTGTCTCTCCCATATGACACAAATACAGACATGTCTGCTAGAGGTCCTTTCTCAACCTGGTTTCAGGAAGTGTTTTTCATTTTGACAAAACAGGTTTAGTTCATTTTGAGAAATATGCTGGATTGTCATCTTATCCGCAGCCAGATGAGAAGATTAATATTAGTTTCCACACACTAGGATGTGCACACTGTAATTACAGACAAGCTTTCGGTCAGAGACTTTCTACAAGCACACAAGGTAAACAGAAAGTAAGAGCACTGAAGTGTACATATAGTAATTAACCTTCATGCCAAAAGTGTATCCTTGACACATGATCATATTCAAGGGTACTGTAGTCATCTTATATAGAAGATAAGTGATATGAAGCAAAAACGGAAACATTATAATAATATATACAGTCCAAAAACAGAGTGTGAAAAACAACATACTTGCTTTCTTGTGGAGAGTTAGAGGAGAAGCTCAATACCACTCTAATGTCTGTATGTTAATGATGAAGCTAAAACCAAAAGATGGTCAACTTAGCTTAGCACAAACTGTCAGGCAGCCAGCAGAGACCATGTGAGGCCAAGAAATAGCACCCTGTGCTTATAGGTGGCTTTTGTTAACATTAGACAGGGCCAGGTTAGCCGTTTCAGCATTCAGTATTTATGCTATGGTAAGCTAACTGTCTACTAGCTCCAGTCTTTACCATGCAGACATGAGAGGAATCGACCATCTCGTCTAACTCTCAGAAGCAAGAAAGTGAATAAGCCTTTGTCTCATACATCTCCTATCCTCCATTTTTGTTTTTCAATACATGCTATAAGACTATAATACCCTTAAGTATGATCTTGTGTGAGGGATACATATGTACAGTATATCTATATTTAGTAGTGTTCTCTCATTCAGTTCAAAAAGGTCTATGACTGAAAGCTTGTATGAACCTAAATAGAGTGTGCTGAAGATCGTTGTTGCGGTTACTCTGTAATGAAAATAATATCAATCTTCTCATGTGGCTCTGGGTTAGAGAGCAAAGACACATTAATTTCCAAAATGTGGCACTGTTCCTCTAAAAACAAGAATGCAAAAGTTAGGTTGATTTTGGACCTAAATGTAAAAAAATAAATGAATTCATTTATGTATTTTTTGTACATATTTAGTAGGTATTTTTACTATTATACCATGTAAAAGGTGCTTCTGGGAAATATCTACAGGGACTGGATGAAAAAAAAAACACATAAGACATAACAGTCTAATGCAATCCAATACAAGAGTCCAGCAACAAAGGGGTTAATATTTGTTGAGACTTTATCAGAGAGGAAGTGATTCAATGCTTTGCTTCTTTCGATTGTATTGGATTGCATTTTTATGGTGCGTCTAATATATTGTATGATCCACGAATTCAACCAATACAATACAAACACTTCCTGAACCATCAAGGCCTCGGTTGATTCTGTTATGGAAGACGAGCATCGATTGACGCTGTAAAGTAATGGAGTATGTTTGTGTTGCTGTTGAATTGACTCCGGGGGTGTCAGTTTGAGAGTCTCTTTCAGGCTGATGACGGCCATGCAGTTTGGAAACTGTACAGGTTACTTTATGGACTTCATAGACCTTCAGGTCATGAACATTACGCAGCACAAGAACTATGTAAACTTTGAAGTCAAGTTAAAAAAAGACAGTACACCAAAAACCGGAGATATGAGAATGTCAAGTGAGTGACAGCAGCATTATGATAGTGTTTCTGTTTTCACATGCTCTATGGCCTGGTCCACAAGCAGAGACATGAAGCAAAAGAGTTCTGTCACCGACACAAACTCCTAGCTTGTAATGAAATTAAGTGTTTGACGAAACACTCCTTGGCATTAAAAAAGTTCCTGGGAGTCAATCAAATTCTACATTTGGGTGACTGAACTCTTTCCCTTTTTGTCTCTCGTCCCCTGGCATCACAAACAGACCGTAGAAAAACAGTAGCTTGTTACATTATAAATACTGGAATAATAAAAATATGAGGGGAGCTTGATTTAATTTCTCTTGATGTTTCCCCTCCTGAGACTGGGTTGTCATGATTGGTAAATCAAGCACCCCTCAGCTAGCTCAGAGATCTGAAAATGACTTTCAAACATATACTATATGTACACAGTCAAAGCACTGGGACAGCAAGCTAAAGTTAGGCTATTTTCTTTTTTTGCTGGTGTCGTTATTGTGGTATACTGCAGTTAGTCGCACTGTAGAGGCCAAAAAAACAACCAGAATCAGCAACTAGCTCTGTCCTTTTCCCTCACATACATGTTTGTATTTACACGGCAGATGGGGCCACAGCATGAAAGACTAAAGACGAGCATCAAGGCAAGAATCACTTTGTCCTGGCTGAACTTTCAAAGCACAGCTTGTAAGACACGTTGATGTACAAAAAAAAACCATATCCTCTTATATCTACGGTGTGTTACTAGTGTCACACTGTATACTCATTGCAAATTACTTCATGGAGGTTTGAGAATGTATTTACTGACAGTGGCTACTAAGGATCATTCAGACTGATTACAACTTGGGTGTTATTTTGGACGTTTTGGCCATCATTTCTATCAGTTAAACCTTTTATTCACCAAAGCAATTGCTGAGATCTGGGAACATGGCCAGACAGTTTTACGTACAACTGAAACGTCAGTAGGAGCTATACTGCCTCTCATATGGTCTGAAATGTTAGGTTGAAAAATAGACCTTCAAATTGTTATTGATTGATTATACTTAAAATTCATTTAATTAATTCACTTCAATAATCTCTCCCTATTTTTGGAAAACTGTGGTTGCATTGCTTCGGTCAGGCCAGTAGGGTCAAGGCTGAAGCAAGGAGAGCACATTTTACTGTTCGTCTGACTGTGTTTCCTGACCCAACAAACTTCTTTTTCAGCATTGTCACCATGTTCCCATATCTCAGCAGTTAACTTGGTGAGTGCAATGCTATTTATGCTGATTGGAAAGTATAAACAAAAGTAAAATATTTCTGCCATCTCTTCTGAAGACCATTAATACAGCCCTAATCTTAAATTTGATGACGTTACAAAATAAAGCTTAATAAAACTTTTTATCAGTGAACTACAATTTGATTTGTCCCCACAAGCATAAAACTAATATTTCTCCTCTGTGTCAAGCAATTACTGTAGGTGGACATCAGATTTCTTCGTCTTCATTAAAATGCAATCTTATCCCATTCTTCCAATACCTCCTCTATTCTACATTTATACTTCTACTTTTGGGTCTTACTTACAAAATTAAAATTCACAGGTAATGAAGTTCACTTTAGCAGCTTTACAGCTCATACAATTGTCATGTTTTGCACAATTGCACGTTATAAATAAGGAGACGGAAGACAACTACTGTTTGTATATGGCCTCACCTCCTGCTACCATGCACACGTTCATGATGATGCACCGACAAGCCACACTGCTCATTGTGCTCACCATGTATGGAAGCCCTAAGGTTGCAATCACACTGGAATCTCAGTACTGCGCATGACTGATGGGAGTGCTGTGATAAGCAGTTAGATATTAATGTCGCCCAAATGACTTTCAAAGCCTGCAGTTTGATCGCTGACTAACTTTAGCTCTCTGTCCCATAACTTAATTTTTTGACAGAATGGGGATTTATATTTTTGCCGGTCAGAAAGAGAAGTACTGGGCGTACAGCTCCTCTTCTTTTGGAACGAATTCTTTGCTTTTTCCTGCCTCCATTCCTCTCAGGTCTGATGGCGTTGTGGCGCTGGCCTCAGGAAGGCTGAGAAAGGGAAAGAAAAAAAGGATCTGTTAAAATGATGGGAAGGAAGAGACTGCAATTACATTCAGATATGTACAATCAGATCCCCTCGTGGGCAGCAGCAGTGCCAGAGTGTAATCAGGGAGATGCAGTGAGTGCTTGAAATTGATGCCAAACGCATGAAGGCTGGTGTGATGTCCACAATCCGGGATGCAAGTTGGAGACTGTCTGATGATTTTACATGACCTTACCGGGACTTGTTTTCCCCCCACATACAAGGACACTTTGACACATGCACAGGAGAAGCTTGGAAACAAACCATAACCAGCAACTAGTGAACTTCCATCCATCCATTTAATATATTTATCTTACAATCAGCCTGCAATGGACTGGTGACCTGTCCAGGGTGTACCCCGCCTTTCACCCAATTTCAGCTGGGATAGGCTCCAGCCCCCCCTTGACCCTGTACGCAGGATAAGTGGCTGACGATGGATGGATGGATGGATGGATCTTACATTCGGCAACACCCTGAACAAGTCTATCACAGGTCTGACAAATGCAGATTGACAACCATTCACACATATGTTCACATCTCCACTTAATTAGGCCTTTGTGGGAGGGCCTTCTTACTATAAGGAAATCTAGGCTGTCAACATCCCTGAGAATAAGAAAATGTAATTGGTAAAACTGAACTCTATCATGAAAACCAAAGAATCTTGCACACTGTCCATCACTTGTGATAGACTTAATTAACAACGTTTCAGTCCTCAGACGTTCATCAAGCAAAGTTGAGATGGTTCATTTAAAATAACTCTTACAAACACCCCGAGAACATACAATGTCAATTCATTTTTAGATAAAGTTTACTATGTTTGTATAAATAAATGTTGGTCAGAGCATGAATTCTACTTTCTAAATTAGGGAGGGTGCCAGTGTGCATGTTATATATGTGTGAATTTATATATATATATAAAATATAAGGACTTATTTTCAAAATGGACCGGGTTATGTTCATTGGACTTAAAAGACATAAATGAGGTGTTTTTCAAACATACAGAGAAGAAGCAGAACAGCCTATATTTATACAAATTTGTGAGGGCGGGACTGCTATTATATCCATGTTGGTAGCCTAAGCCTTAGCTAGCCTTAGCTACATGTTCAATGTCAGTTGCATTTTCTGTGCTGGTCCTTATTTTGGAACTCAAAACACAGTTTCGCTCCAAAGAGCAAAGTCAGCGGAAACTGCCTCGAGTTTTGGTTGGTTGGTTTTGACAGGGAAGACGAATGCGTGGAGTCTGATGCATAAATTCAGTTTTTCTTTTTATTGAAACTGTCTATCGCACATCTGACACTGTTATAGGAGTGCAATGCTAAATTGGTGGAGTACTGTTTGACCTTATGAGACTCCAAGTGTTTTGCGTTTGGCATCAGGTATTATGGTACTGATTTTTTATACATTTAAACAAATATAATAAGTAACAAAACTGGCTACAATTGTATTTTAAGATGCAGCTCAGTTTTTGAGGTTGAAACAGACAAAAAACCCAGACGGGACGAAGCCTTGGAGAGATAAACATTTCCTCCTCTCAATTCAAAAACACTACAAAGAAAAAGACAACTACAAAAAAGAGACAACAGTGTTTTCTTCTCTGAACAAACATCTAAAATTCAAACTAACTAGTTGGTTTGCAGTTTACGCTTTCCAGCGGCAGACCTCCCAGTATTTTTTAATCCCTGCTTGCAGCAAGCAGCCCTCCTTCATCTCCTCTTTTACTGTGTCCACTGCCTTTTTTGCTGGGAGAACAAAAGCGCTATCGCACAAGTTTCATATTTGCAACTTGCACTTTTAAGTTACTGCAGTGCTTTTAAATAAGTAATTTTTTCTTTGAGTCACTCAAGAGATTGATGTCCCATTGAGACTTATTGAAGTGCAAAGTTTCAGCGTTGGCTCATTTTTATAAGCAAACATAAACAGGGATGACAGCGAGAATTTAGAGGATGTTTCAAAGACGATTCAGTCTGACATTGTGTGATAGTTCCATCCAAAAGGGAAATATGTTAAAGCATAATGAATCAAAAAGGGATTATATCTTCATTATATTTCTCCGTTGACCCTGAACAAGTGGAGTAAGACCGCAGCGTTCTGAGAAATGAAAATTTGGTAATCCCACTACTGGCTGAGGCCTAAATTAAAATAGCACGAATCAGAGAACAAAAGTAAAACCTTTAAATCCTATTCCTTTTTCTCACACCAAAAGGTAAGAACAAAACAAAACAATTAATTGTTGTATTTTTTGAGTAACAAGCAGCTGAGTTTTAGAGCTACTTAAAGGTTCAATGTGTAATATTTCTGAGGATCTACTGACAGAAAGGCAATATAATTGTCACGGACTGGGGCGAGGACCCAAATGCAGACAATGGCAAGGCGGTTGCAGTTCAAAAATGTTTATTAATTCAAAAAACTAACTTAAACAGGCTTACAAGAAGCTCGAGGCAAAGTCCAACAAAGGTACTCCAGAACACAAGGCGATCCAAAACACAGGGAATAATCCAGAACAAGGAAGACAAAGGAACAGGCAGGAACACTCAAAGACTGGAGAGACAAGCAGGCATACATATACACAGGGACTAACGAGCGGGGCGGGAGCAACACAGGTGAGCGGGATCAGGGCTAACGAGGCAGAGACAGAGAGACAAGCAGGCAGGCAGAGAGACAGCAGGGGGAAACAGAGAGAACACTAGACAAGCAGACATGGGGCAGAGTGAATAACCAAGAAGACAGAAACACACGCAAGTTACAAAGAACCAGAACCTAAACGAGAATACAGAACTAGAACACAGAGGAGACCAAATCACAATAATACAAACAAGGACCAGGAATGAATACCAAAACATGAACTAAGGACATGGAACTAAACTCAGACTCTCAGATCATGACAATAATATCCATAACTATGTTTTCAGTGGTGCATAAAGACCTTACATAATGAATGAAGTACCTTAGAATGAGCCATTTATATCTACAAAACCGCGTCCCCTCTTCCATGGACATTGCCTTGTTGCGCCGTCATGTTTCTACAGTAGCTGAAAACGGACAAACAGCGCTACACAGCACATTTCGTCATTACGTTCTTCTTGTTCTACTTCTGATAGAATTCAGGCAGTGTAGACACATGAATATGTAGGTACGTTCGAAGAAGAAGTAATAATATACAGCAGGGGTCGGCAAATAAGTTACTGTTTTTTTTATACATTAGATGATGAGTGAGAATATAAGACAGATAATGTTGAAAACGATTGTTATGGTGTTTGGATTGCTCAGTCGTTAAAGCGCTGGCCTCTCATCTCAAAGGTCGTGTGTCGATCCCACCTCTAGATCATTTGTTTTCGCTCTTCAACAAATGGATTCTGCAGCGACTGTTTTTCAGGTTCACATTACGGCATGTGCTGCTGTGTGTGTGTTCCTGTGTTTGATCTGCATCTTTCAACCTCCGGAGCCTTTTTCATTTCCCAAGTATCTCCATGCAGTGGACACTGAGGGGAATCACGTTCTCGGACGGCTCTTTCAGAGTTGTATCAAGCAGGCTACAGACTGTTTTAATGTCGTTCAGAATATTTCAAAGTAAAAGCTCTCAGTTCAACTTCAAGTAAAGCATTACAGTAAACAAGCTTCTCGCGCTTTTATTTTGCAGGCAAAACCTCTAGAGATGAAGTGATTATCTGAGTAACTGTTGCTGTCATCACTGAGATCTGTTTTAGCACCTCTATCAAAGTATTTATTTATTTATTATTAGCCGCTATCAAAACACCATAATATGGCTGTGGGCCAGATATTATTGCTGGCGGGCAGTTTTGGCGATGGTCCATAATCACAGAGAGAAGTAACATGTTTCCCTTGTCAATGTTTGTATAAACTTTATCAAATGTGTGGTTTATAATCGACTGTGGTGCAGAAACGGTGACAGTGTTTCACACTCTTGGCTTACATTTTCCAAGTTATCTGTCAGTGGTCAAGTCACAATAACATCTGATTTTACTAAATAATTAAGTAAATATAATTTCTTAATATATCTACCTAAAGAAACCTAATTTCTTGAATGGCGACCCTCTGCTGTCGTGACGACCCCTTTGGTGCTGTGTCAGCCTCTGTAGCTCTCCTACACTCTTTGAAAGGGTGATAGAGTGATAGACTAGACAGTTTTTTGCAATTCACAACCCTCACCGCTACATGCTACTAAATCTTACACACTGCACCTTTAAGATACTCTATTATTAAAGGTTAAGTGTGTAATATTAAGTACGCTCTCAGCTGTTTGTCCGTTTTGGGCTACTGTCGAAACGTGGCGGCGCAAAATGGCGACCATGGAAGAGGGGACCCGTGGTTATGTATAAAGAAATGGCTCATTCTAAGGTAATAAAAACATAACTGTTCAATATGTAAGGTTTTATACACCACTGAAAACAGAGTTATGGATCTTATATTGCATTTCTCTCACAAGATCCTCAGAAATATTACACACTGAACCTTGTTAAAGCGTGTTCTCTCATCAAGAACGTGTTGAAAGGTACCTTCTTGCTCGTCTAGTGTCATACACACAACACATACAGCATCAAGTACAAATCTCATCTCCCATGTTTTGTGTGTCATCACAGACAAAAATATTTGAGGAAATCAATTTTACAGTGTGGGCCAAACCCATGTTTTAGTTATATACGCACCGAAGGTTATCTGCTTCATGTGGTGGCAGGTGTCATGGTGAAGAAAAGTGAACATGACAAAATGTATACTAAATATGTGTTCATGGTAGTGTGGTCAAGAAAAACTCTCCACTGAAACCCCTAATTAATTGATTTGGACGGATGGTATCGTTGTGTCTCCAAAGATTCCACAGAAACATAAGTTGCCTAAAAAATCTTATTAGACTTATTTCAATTGTGGTATTTGATGGAAGAATAGCCATGCAGGAGTCCAGGTGACTAGGCAAAAAGTAGTGTGACGTCTACATCACTACGTGTTTTACAACATTTGCAGTGTAGCACCATGCTTTCTGGAAGTTACAGTGTAATTTATGGTTTACGAGAGATTCCCTGATACTAATTTAAGATACAAATTTTCAGACTAATGAAGAATGGTGCTTTGTTACATTTAACGACCACCTTTGCACGAGTATTTTAACACTTGTGTCTATGTAACTGTTGACTACTAATGTCTATTTATGTAATGTATAGCTCGCCTAGTAGGTGGCTGCAACACTGCAGCTACTTTTAATGCAGATTTTCATTCCTGAAGAGCAGAGAAAAGGATGAACCTGTCATATTAGAAGTGGGTAATAAACATCTGATGTTTGACAGAAGGCCAATATATGTCAATAAAAAAAATAAGCCCCTTTTCAGTTTTGGGGAAGACTGGTGAGGATGGAAGGGAGGGAAACTACAGTCCCCTGCAAAACTACTGGAACAGTAAGACAAATTCCTTAGTTTTTGTTGTTCACTGAAGACATTTGGGTTTAAGATCAAAAGATGAGTACGAGACAAGAGCTTTTATTTCCTGGTATTCATATCTAGATGTGTTAAACAACTCAGGACATATCACCGTTTGTATTAGACCACAGCATTCTTATCTGAGCAAAAGTATTGGAACAAATAACCTTAAAGTAAATAACATTTAATATTTGGTGGCATAACCCTTGCTTGCAATAACTGCCTCAAGCCTGCGACCCATCGACATCACCAAAATGTTGCATTCTTCATTTGTGATGCTATTCCAGGCTTTTACCGCAGCTTCTTTCAGTTCTTGTTTGTTTCGGGATGTTTCTCCCTTCAGTCTCCTCTTAAGGAGGTGAAATGCATGCTCAGGGTTAAGGTCAGGTGATTGACTTGGCCAGTCTAAAATCTTCCACTTTTTTCCCCTGATGAAGTCCATTGTTTTGTTGGCAGTGTGCTTTGGGTCATTGTCCTGCTGCATGATAAACTTCCTCCCGATTACTTTCAATGCATTTCAATTCCGTAAATTGACAGACAAAATGTTTCTGTCCACTTCTGAATTAATTCTGCTGCTACCATCATCAGTTACATCATCAATAAATATTAATGAGCCTGTTCCAGAAGCAGCCATGCCATGACATTACCTCCACCATGCTTCACAAATGAGCTCGTATGCTTCGGATCATAAGCAGTTCCTTTCTTTCTCCACACTTTGGCCTTTCCATCACTTTGGTAGAGATTAATCTTGGTCTCATCAGTCCATAAGATTGTGTTACTGAACTCTTGTGGCTCATCTCTGTACTTCTTTGCAAATTTCAATCTGGCCTTCCGATTCTTCCTGCTGGTGAGTGGTTTGCATCTTCTGGTGTGGCCTCTATATTTCTGCTCTCTGAGTCTTCTTCCAACAGTGGATTGTGATACCTTCACCCCTGCACTGTGGAGGTCGTTGGTGATGTCACTTACTGATGTTTTGGGGGGTTTCTTCACAGCTCTCACGATATTTCTGTCATCAACTACTGTTTTCTTTTCCTTGGCCGACCTGTTTGACGTCTGTTGCTCAGTACACCAGTAGTTTCTTTCTTTTTCAGGACATTCCAAATTGTTGTGCTTGCTGTGCCAAAAGTTTGTCCAATGGCTCTGGTCGATTTTCCTTCTTTTCTCAGCATGACAATGGCTTGCTTTTCTCCCACAGACAGCTCTCTGGTTTTCATGTTGGTTTATCCTCTTTAACAGGAAATGCCGTCTTCATAGGTTTGAACCAAGGATGAAAAGTTAGACTAGTCCTGCAGAGCTATTTAATGTTTGGACAATCAACCTAAAAGGCAACACCTGGGCAACAAGAAACATCTGTCAGTCACATGTTCCAATAGTTTTGCTCACTTGAAAAATGGGTGGGTTCAAACAAAGGGTGATATGTCCTGAGTTGTTTAACACATCTAGATGTGAAAACCACAACATGAGAGCTGAAATTCTGAACTCTTGTCTCATACTCATCTTTTGATCTTAAACCCAAATGTCTTCAGTGAACAACAAAAACAAAGAAATTTGCCTTACTGTTCCAATACTTCTGGAGGGGATTGTAAGATGTGAGGTGAGAGAGTCAGACAGTGGGGGCACAAATTCATTCTCTGAATTAGGGGAAGTGAAAGTGAACTGAGGGCAGCAGTGGCAGTAAGTCAGATTAGTTCTCACCTCCTAACGCTTTGTTGGCCCTGATGCTGCACCAGGGCTTCCTGAGGATGAGGAGCATGAGGAAGAGCAAGGCTTGGAATGATGGGATGATGTGGAGGATGAGGAGAAGGAGGAGGAGGAGGAGGATGCTGAGGAAGAGGAGAAAGACGAAGAGGGCTGAACAGTGGCAGGGCTTTCCTACGTCTGGGGAGGGACCTCTGGAGGGGGGAGTGAGGGGGCACAAAGCGGCCTCCTGGTCCTACCTCCTCCGCCTCCTGTCCCTCCTCTTCATGACTGATGGTGGGAGGGCTGTCGAATCGGAGAGCTGACTGGCTAGGAAAGCTGGTGAAGCGTTGATCTGATTGGCTGCCTGTTTTTAACTATAGACACACAGAAAGGCAGGGTTGGGGAAGGTGAGTACGTGTTAGAGGAATGAATGACAGTCAGACGTGACCATATAACAAAGGCAAGTTTTCCTTCACTCTTGCCTTTCCATAGAAACACTCATTCCAATGCAAAATATCTTGTTTGTATTTGAAGTCAAACATGTACTGGACCGCAGCAATGTAGAGCTGCATAGGGATGAGGATTCAACAAGTCAGGGATAGCTAGCAAAGCTAGCAAGCAAGCTAATTTACAACTCTGAATTGGCTGAAAACACTGGCTCCAACTAGTTTTATGTTCTAGTTTTTAGTTTAATTTATGATTTATTGTTCATTTGAGGAAGAGGACTAACCAATGTGTTTAGTAACTAATGCTATCTCAGTTAGTTTAGATGAGGTTGCTGGAGGCTAATCTGCCCCAAATCCAATAAAGGGCAGGACAAAGTCTCTAACATTAGCCTAAAGTCTGATATTGTAGCTTCCACACAGTGAGGGAGTGCCACTCCTATACTGGGCTTTTTTGAATGCACCCTGCAACCCCACAAAATAATGTAGTTAGCTAATGAGGTGCTCCTTGGCATTGAAGTATCCCTTGGTTACTACTACTGCAATTGTGAAGGTAGTTAGCTGGACGTGCAAACGATTGCAGCTTGGATACAGATAAAAACACTGTTTAATCCAGTGCTTAAACTTTTACTTGTGCTTTTGGAAAAGCTTAAAAAAGAGAAACCACCATCCAAACTCGTCTCATAAAGTATAGTTCTTACTACAGACCCATGCACACCTCTTCAATTTGTAGAGAAATCCACAACTTGCTGCCTAGTTACAGTTTGTAAACTATGATTGGAAAGTAGCAGTTCTGGGGTCATCAGACTGTCAATTGCACAGCATTGTCCAGCCTGCAATTTATAGGTTGCTGGTAACTAATTTTGTAGTGAGCAGAGGTATACAATGTATCTTGCAAAACTTGAAAATGGTAGAAAATCAGTATATGAAAAAATTTGCCTCAAAACATCTGTTGGGAGGGAAGTAATGTGTATTGCAGAGACTTTCTCGATACTTCCACTAGGAGGTGCCAAAGTCAAAAATTTTCTAAGCCTGCTCATGGGAGTTTAGAAGTGTAAGTGAGGGAATTGAGGACGACCCACACTGAGCAACACTTTCATCATGATGATGATGATGATGATGATGATGATGATGATGATGATGATGATGATGAGGAAGAAGGAGAACACTGATGTTGTGATGCTGAAATTTCATCATATTTACATGCGATCAAACAGCAGGTTTGACAGCTGTGTGCACAGAAGAAGGATGCTAAGTACAAGACACAATGGCAGTACAGTATGTGTTTGTTGTCTGTGTCCCTCACTGCAGGGTTGGAGCTTTGCTGCAGATCAATTTTAATATAATACAGAGAAAAATATAATGTAGATACATTACAGTGACAGCTACCTTTATTACCTTCAATAATGATCAATAACCTTATCTGGCAGCTGTATATAAAGGTGGATACTGAATGCAATGGCTGCCGTGGTACTATTAGAAGATCCTGTGTGTGTGTGCGTGTGCATGCTCACAGATTGCTAATGAGATTGCACTCACTTTTTTTCATTGATGACAAATTGTGATTGAATACGTTTGTGAATTGGAGGCACTGATCTTTAGGGTGAAAATATGAACTTGAAGCTTTAGTCTTCGGTGAAGTAAAAGTGTACAAAAGTCTGTTTTGGCTGTGTGTATGACGGTTTTCATTCTCTTGTATATAGTGTATGTTTGCTAAATCCAACTGAAGAGTGTGATGCAAACATCCTCTGTATACATTGTGAACCAAAAGAGCAGAACAATGGAGAGCATTCAGCATAAAACACAACAAACCACTGGTCATACACAGCAGTATTTTATATGAGAACACAGTCCTCACACATTCCTGGTTGAGTGGGCATTTTGTGAGTTTAGCTGTCCTGTCAGCTTGTTGTTTGGAGGCCACTTAGCTCAAAGGGGACCACAACATGATCCTCGACATTCCTGCCACTCACACTGACAAGGGCTTTTGGGTTTGAGACCACTCACCTTGATAAGAGGGTTGATTACACCAACATTGGCACTGGAATTGAAGACCTTGTTGAACCCTGTCTCTCTGTTGACCAACTCCAACTGGTAGAACTTCTTGTCGTCCTTATAAAAAAAGACAACTTGTTATATATAGCGCTGGCTAGCGACATTTGTGTTTAGAATTAAATGTTTTCTCTTCACTGTCGTCACTGTTTTACCATCACAAGACAATGCATTGTTGATTACTCCCTTAAGCAAAGTCTGCAGAGTGGCAGAATAGCAGAAAGTGTGCAAAGTGTACAGAACAGGGCTTTTAGCACAACTAACACGCACTGCTGCCCCACAAGCTTGTCAGTGTTGTGCGTGAAGACAGAGCGAAGCAGTGAATTTAGCCATAGTTTCACAAAATCATCTCAACCCTAGGTCTTGCTTACTAGCTTTTTCAGGGTACTCCCAGGGTTCTCCAAGTTAAATTTAAGACTTTTTAAGACTTTTTTAATACCACCTAGGATGAAATTTAATGGCAACTTCACTGCCATATAATGGAAAATCTGTAGGGCTTTTAACTGCATCTCATTGTCTTCATCATTTATCAGAAGACTGATGAAGACCCTAAGATTTAGCCATATGTTGGTGAAAATGCGTTTCTCATTTTTAAATTAGTGAATAGGAAACAGTATTCATTATATACACAGTGGAGTTTATTTCTATCTTTTTGAATGCCAACAACATAACAGTGGAGTGAGCCTATCTCTGGGAAACCATCTTTGATGTCACCGATTACTGCAGTGCACTTTTACTGAAATTACTTTGTCGACCCCAGATGACTAAGTCTGCCAACAGTAGTTGTGACATCAGCCAGCCATATCTGTGACTGCAGTTTAAAAATAAAAAAACCTGATTAAAATACTGCACGTACACATGGCCATCTGAGAAAAGGATTATGATGCAAGAAGGAGTTGGGTTTCTTTGGGTGTGACTTTTTTGCTCACTGTAAAAGTTTTCTTTACAATACCAACTATCCTAAACCCCCCCCCCAGATATATCACCCAGCCTACTCACCACCAGCTTTTTGACCAGAGCTTCTCTTTCCGTGACCATTTCTCTGAGCTCTGCTATAACATGCAGGTCTTCTGGTCGGCTTTCTCGGTTTCTTAACTTCTCCTCCGTCCCCTCCAGCCTGGACACACAGACATGATATATATAAGCAAAGAAGGTAGGTAGATAGATAACATTATTAAAGCAATTATTTTTGCCAGCAGAGACAGAAAAAGAGGCAACACTGTGTTAAAAATGCTAAGACTTAATTACACATTTCTGTGACTTACAGTATTTGTAGAGCAGAGATCTTGTCTTTGAGGACCTCCTGGGCCTTGTTGAAGTCAGCCAGCATGATTTGTGTTTCTCTGTGATGGACTACACTTAGCTCCCCCAGGTCCCTCTCATGTCTCTTTGAAAGGTCTTGTTCATGGGCCCTGCAGCACAGACAGACAGACCTGATAAAACAACATTACAGTGGGTCACATGTCGAGATAACACAACCTAACATGCAATGTGTGCTGGATGCATTTGTCCTTTATGCATTAATAGTAATCACTTATGTGCCATCAGGGGCTTAAACTGCACTTGTACATCATCATGGATATTGCTCACAGATACACTTCATTTCCTGGTAGGGAACCATGAGACTGATAACCCTTTTTTACTAAATTATAGAGGAGGACGACATGATGTGCAGCTGCAAACTAAACTCAGCTGGGTTCCAAAGTGCAGAGCTCGAGCAGGGGTAGTGCTAAAAAGAAATGGTATCCATAGTTACTGTGTTAATGCCAGATTCTTCATTTATCTGTCTGCAATCTAAGTTAAAGGTTTGTCAAGGTTAAAGGTACATTTATTTGTCATTCTGCAATACAGGAATACACATAAAAATGTAAGTTTTAGCCCCTTTCACACAGAATGACAGCGTAACTGTCTTATTTCACCAGTTCTACTTTATTCTGCGCTTTATTTGAGTATTTTGGGTTTTTTTGCTTGAATCTGCTCACCTTGCTTTCCCCTTCAGTTCTCTTTTCCCCCCACACACTCACACACACACCTACACCTTTAGTCTCTTGCCCCACCTCTTTCTGATTCTCTCTCCGTGTCTGAGCCGCTGTGTATGCTTCCTATTTAGAGAGTCAGGGCTGTAGGGATATTTTTTTCATAGAACAGACAGCTAGCGTGCCGTGAGGAGATATTCACTGAATTTGACAAAAACACATGTACTGGATTAGAATCGCTTCCCCCACCTTTAACCCACCTATTCTACCCACCTCTCAAAATGACAGGTACCTAGTATATTTTACAAATGCTGTTGACTTTGTGGTGATTTGCTGTAAAATGTGTGTTAAAGTCACAAAGTTTATCGGAAACTGAGAGAAGACTCCTCATGACATCAGGAACACGTCATGGCATGGATGACTTTCAGAGATGTTGGATCTAATCATAAGCTGTTCAGATGGATAGTCCCATATGACATGAGTGCAGGCTTAATTGTTTGTAAACTGGGTCAGTTACTGTTGAGTCGCAGTTTAGTCCTGCACCTTTTGACGATAATAACATCCTCTAATGGGAAATGTTTCACATGTAATATATACAGTTTGTTTAATTGTCATTTATGGTTAATTTTATTAAGGCTACACTGAGGACTGTATATTCAAAATTGCTAATCAGTTGTACACATTGCTGGAAAGAAAGAAATACATATGACATTTTTTTATTTTGGGTGTTATGTACCTTATCTGATGGTTAGCTTCGCTGCGGACCCGCAGCACTTCCTTGCCCTTCAGCTCCAGCTCTCTGGTCAGAGTGTCGATGGTCTCGTTCAGAGAGTGGATCTCATGGTCCAGATCGGTGATGCGGTTGCTCCGGGAACACAGCTCTGCTTGCAGGTCTGAGATACGAACCAGGAGCTCTTGTTCCTAGACGAAATACATGAACAGAGAAAACAAAGAGTTTGTTAGAAGATATTAACTAGGTCACACACAATGACAAGAAAATAACAAAGAAGAATACAAACAGAAATAGACTTTTTTTACCTGCTGGTGGCTGTGCTCCATGGCCTTCTCTAGCTCTCGTTTGATGGCAGTGTTGTCTTTAAGGTGGATCTGCTTCAGATGCTCTATTGCTGTTGCATGGAGGTGGTTCAGTTCTGCACGAAGAGACGCTACCGGACAAAAACCACCAGAGTTAAAGTGAGTCAAAAATCACCAGAAGTCAAGCTTTTTATTATCTGACTTCCTTTTGAAAGACTTTTATTCTTCTTGAATATAATCTGCTGATTTAGTCCGATTTTCACTTTTCTCAAATGCTCTTTTACAATTAAACCCGTGAGCATCGCCTTTTTGTTTATGGGTGGTTGTCTTTCCTTCCATTCTTTTAATACAGATGGAGAATGAGGGTGAGATGTTTTGTCAGCACTGAGGGCATAAGCATCAACGCACAGCAGGTAAAAACATATCACCATGGGTAGAAAGATCTTCGCTGAGGGGAGAAAAGTCATCGCTGTATTTTAAAAACCATACCACAGGGAGAGAGGATGTGGATGGAAACCTAATAAAAAACTACAAATGGCATCAAAAGCAAGATTTTATGTGTATTTACCCAGCTTTGCTTTCCCCTCGTCCTCCAGCTCAAATCGCAGCGTCTGCAGCTCCTGGTCTGACTGCTGTCTCAGGATGTCTAAGGTCCTCCTGTGGGCCTCCTTCAGAGCATGAACCTCCTCCCTCTGCTCCTGCTTCAGACGCTCCTCCAGGGCCTGCCAGAGGGTAGGAAAGAGAAGGAGGAGGAAGAGGGAGGACAGGATCGAGATGATATAAGACATCACATCAAAATCACATTTTTCCATGTGCTGACACAGTTGTGAGAAGAATTAAGTTTGAGAGCTCCAAGGATGATTTGACATATAATATTGTGTGAAAGTTGGCTGAAAGAAAGAACAGCATTTATGAAGACATTTGTTGGAAAATTAAACCCAGACGACAAATAATATGCAATAAATAATGAACACTGTAGCTGAGTCCCATTTCTACACTAATTCTAATCAGGGTTTGAGTGTGCAGAGTGCTCAGACAGGAGAAGTGACAAAAGTAATTACACTCAAAACACTCAGTATGTAGAGTTAATCCGCTTGTTTACTGAGCGTGCTGTTGATGGACACTATTTGTCCAGCTCCACCAAAAGCATGGAAAACAAGTGTCCAATCGTTGTGAAATTTAACTTGCAATGACATTATGTTTCTGATGAGTTCTTGCATGAAAAATCACAATATGAAATATGAAAATAAGTATGTAGAACGGAATTTGAATTATGAAAAATATTATGTGAATTTGGCCATTTCTTTCTTAAAACAGCCAAGAAAATCTCTGGTGTCTCATTATACCATATAATCACTATGGCGATCAACAAGCAACCGCCAACTGAAACAAAGGTATTTTTCAGAGACGCATTACTCAAAAAAGATCCAATTTTTTGGGGGGGGGGAGACTTGCCTGGATGCCAATTTAGCAAAATCCTAGGTTAAACCTCACTTGCTTTGCTTAGCGGGACGTGATATTACCTATTGAATAGTGTAATTTGCATCCAGGTGCATTATGTCATTTATGTCTTTAACCAGGAGGAACTGAACAACATTAATAAGGTACGTCCTTACAATCTACTGCTGCAATCTTTTTCTTCGATGGTGCAGTAAAAAGATTTTCCTGCCTGCAGTGTAATTATAGGAAAGCGTCAACCAGAAACCTCACAATAAGCTATTACCACCCTGGCTCATTTTCAATATCATTTAACAAGGAAGTGGGTGAAATTAAAGAAGATGAACGGAATGAATTGTTTCACAAAGCTAGATCTTCCTCCGCTGATTTAATTGCTTTATGAATCTTTTACCTCCGATTTACTCTGCAGCATGAACAGAAGGCTCATTAAATTCAAACTAACAATTTTAAAACAAATAAAACCCTTTTTCCTATACTTAGACTGTTTGTTCTGTTTGTGTTGGTAGTTTTGTAGACCATCCCTCACAGAGGCTCATAACTTATACTGCGGCTCACTTTTTTGGCAGCACTGGTCTATGTCGTGTGCGCGCCGCGGTCGGTCCGGGCGCTGCTCTTCCGCGGGTTACGCTTTTTGCGTTCCGTCGGCATTACGTTGTCAACTGGCATTTGGCACGGGGTCTTCTGCGTTTGCGTCGCGGTGCATCTGGGAGTCTTTGTTTTTGCGCTTTTTTTGATTGATTTATTCTTTTTCTTTCTCCCACCCCTATTGGTTACTGGGGTTCTTGCCTGCCTGTTACAGTCGTGGCGTCCCACTCTCACTAACAACTACATTCTTTAACAGGCTTATGCGTACACACATGTACACACACACACATACAGACACATTCACCCACACGCACACAGACACACACAGACACAAACAAATTTAGGTTGTCCCTGGTAGAATTATTCCTGTTGCTTTTCTTTCAGTTACTTATTTAAATTAATTATTCTTCCAGCTCTCGTGGCTGTGCTGTGTTGCTTATTTAGTGTGTGTGACTGTTTCTTGTTTTCATTTTTCTCTTAGTTGTCTTACTATGTCAGCTGTTCATTGCTGCTGTTTGGCTGGTTGTCTTTTACTATTATTATTATTTTTATTGTTTTTGTTTGTGTTTGTTTGTTGTGTTTTTCTCCTCCTCCCCCCTCTCTGTTCTATTGCAGGTTTCGTTGCTTTCTGCAATTGGTGTTTCCCACAGCTTTTCCCTGTTGTCCCCACCTTCCATCCCCCTTTCCTCCTTCTCTTACAGGTGTTGTCCTTTCTCTGTGCTGTCTGTTTGTGCCCCCCCATCCCCGTATCTGCCCCCCTGTCCGGCCCAGTGACAAATCAATACATAATTAAATAAATAATAAAACAGACAAAGGAGTATTTTAATACTCTCTTGTTAAAGTAAAATCTGTCTAGCACAATATGGTATCCAGGTCATTATACTCTATACCAGGCTGCTGGGCAGGACAGGTTTTAAAAAAAAGAAATAATTAGTGTGGTAAAGTTTAAAATTGGCACAAACTGTATGAGTCTATAAATGGCTTCAGGATAATGTTGTGCAGTAGAAAATCAAAACAAATTAAGTTATATGTCAAAGAAAATCTTCCATTTTACGTCTCATACTGAGGATCTCATCTCGCACCAGAAACACTATTTTAAGGACTTTTGCTGATCACAGACTGATGTAAAGAAAAAGCAAGCAGATGAGAACACAGTTAAAAAAAATAGCTACAGCAGCACATTTTTGTGATTTCAACAGTACATATAGGGATATTTGTGAAGTTATGAATTGAAAGAGTACAAGAAAGAGTTCTGTAACGTACTGCTATGGAGTAATGCTCCAGTGACACTACAAAAGTTGCACTGCTCTACTTTTACTTTCTAAGAGTGGAGGAATACATACAATATTCAGCAGAAAAAAACATAAACTATTTTCAAATTTCTAAAGCCAAAACACAAACTAGGACTGCAGTAAACACAACAAATCCCAAGCCAAAGAATGCACAGCTACATGCCTACATGCTTGATGTGTGTGTGTGTGTGTGTGTGTAGCCTACCCTTATCTGGTGCTGTCTGGCCTCCTCCATGGTGCCCAGGGCACAGCAGTGGGCCTCCTGTAATCGATGCTCTCTCCTCTGATGTTCCCTCTGCATCTCTGCAAAACACACACGCACACAGGGATATAAACATCACACACACACACACACACACACAGCATATTCAAAAGAAGATGTGTTTCCATTCTGTTTAACAAGGCTGTGGCAATTTGTTCCAGTCACACATTGGCGTGAGGCGAGGTAGCTTGCACTTGACGAATGGATTTTGTTTTGTTTTTTACTTTTGTTTTGCAGAGCAGAAAACCATTCAATATCCCCTGTCTTGTAAAAACACAAAAATACCAAAAAAACAAGTGGAGCATTTTTATTTCAACCCATCCTGTCTTTCTGTTTCAGTGCGATACATCACGATTCATCGCATCACAAGAGTGGCCTTTTCCATCATGCTAGTAGTTTTCCAAACAACAACAGCGCTGTGACAGGAGTTGGTTTCTGACTTTTAACAATCTGATACACTTACAAACAGTGGTACATCAAAAGCAGGGTGTGAAATAATGAATGAATGAAAAATAATGACCTGCCGACCACCCCCAACAACTTACCTTTTAGCTGTTGGCTCAGCAGCTCCCTCTCCTGGTTGAACTGAGACTGCAGCTGCTGGAGAGCTGACTGGGACTGAGACAACTGCAGCTCCAGAGATTGTTTCAAGAGAGAGATCTGGACACAGAGAGAGAGAGAATGCAAAAAGAAAGCAGATGTATCATTACTTGTGTTGATACTGAAGGGCAAAGCAGTCGATGATGTAAGTAAATGTGAACAGGTCAGTGTGAACATAAAAAAAAATTATTACATCCTGAGCTGCAGTGACAACCTGACTGGCTTTGCACAGCAACATCCCATTCAATATTTTGTTTAGAGCAAATCGCCACTGGTTGGTTACAAAGTAAGTATCTCCAGGAAATGAACAACTCGGTTGACTTCCTGCACACACCTAATTAGGTCAGCATTAAAAAACATCATTGCTCTGTCTTTGTGAGTCCTCCTGCGTCTGTCTTTCCTTCTTTAATCCTCATATGAAAATTGGTTTTCTACAGATTGTTTTGACTCAAGCCTCGATTTTTTTGACAGCTAGGTTACTCACTGGTGGTGGTGGTGATATCGAACACATGGATACAAGCCAAACACTGAGCGCTGTAGTTGGGAGATTTCGCTACTTGAATCTCAAGGAGCCGACAGCTTGTCAGACATGGAGCGACAGCTCACAGAGCCAAATAACATAAAGCCAACTGGCGTAAGCCACATCACAGCTCACAAAAACAGTTTTGTTTTGAGGAGATATTGGAACTATTAGGGGCCTAAGTGAACTCTCTCAGACTGACGGCTCTGCTCCTCCACACGCCACTCTTTCTCAAGCTCTGGCTGGTTAAATCCCCGGCAGGATTTAGTGCTGTAGAAGCGCTACATTAGTGGCTGCAAGGTAAGATGGATTTAAAATGAGAGGATGAGGAGCAAGGCTGGGATGAAGTTTGTGGGGTTCCACATTGGATATGGATGTAAAAAGACAGACAGTTGGCCCTTACAGTAAATCCTCCCTACTTGTGTCACCATGCGTTAACAGAAAAATAACTGGACATACAAGATTAACCAGGTGGAAATATCTTAAACAACCTGTAGTGCTTGTGTCTAACCCTTGATGTCTTAATTAAGCACATCCTCATGCGCACGTACCGACACACACAAACAGCAGCCTGGGGCTGGAACCTAGTAATGAAAATATCTTAATGAAAAAGAAGTAATTACAGATAGGGACGGCACATCCACCCACACATATTTAGTCTGGGCAGTCCACATCCAGTGAATAATTCCTCTTCCACTTAAATAGAATATATAGTTGCCACGCTGTGTCCATCAAACGTGCGAGGCTGATGCTTGGTTTGACCAGGTATTGACAGACATGAGAGTCCTAATTTTTAATGGGGAATGTTTGATTTTGGGCTTCTTTATTTCAAAGTTTAAAAAAAAATTGGATCAATTTGTGTGTGCAAACACATCTTGTAGGTGCTCCCTGAATTTCTGACACTTAGAATCTATAAATCACAGAAGAGGAGAGACTTATCAGTTACAGAAATATCTAAAAAATGCTTTCTTTGCTGTTTACTGGTATATCTAGGAAGTGTTAGGTTTCAAGGAGAGTAGCTTAACGTTGAACAAAATAACGACAAAGTGGCTGCCTATGGACTAAAGTAGTGAATGAAAAAAGTAGAAAGAAAAGAAGAAACTAACAGCACCACATGTTTTAACTATGGAATTAGTGCTGTGGAAATGCAGATATATTTTAATTTGTCAAGATAACAGGTAAACATGGAGGACATGTTAAAAATTTGTAACAAATCAAAAACAGGTAGATGTTTCATCGTAATGTGATAAAAATATAAAAAACAAGGGAATTCAATTATAAAGGTGTCTCTAATATAAGCGTGCTTCAGAATAAATGCATGGTTCTCTGTGCGGTTGAGGCTATTTGAGAATCTACTATTTTATAATGCTTCTACAAGTTATTTTAATATACTCGATAACACATCCATCATACAGAAGATTCTCTGTTGTCACGTTGACAGCAGTTAGTTTCAATCATGGCTCATGTGTTAACAACATCAGCTGCTTGACGCTTAAAATGTGAAGCGACGTGTTATATCTGAAGGGAGTGCATTCGAGGAGTCCCATTGCTGAGCCTCCAGTAGAGCTGGTGTTTCAGTAGAGCTGTAAGTAGGCCAATACAGTGCTGATCACTATAGTTATACCTGTGTCCATTTGTCTTCACACAAGCCTAAACTAGCAGAATGGCTGCTGTCTTTTCCTTGAAAGTCTCATCATGAATATTTATATAGTGAACATGGAGGTGTTTATGCACATGGTATAATAAGAGCTGCTGGAATTCATCAAATGCAAATGAAAAGAACTTCGATGGAGGGAATTTCCTTTATGGGAGGAAAAGATTATTGCTGGCCCATTATTGCTTGCTCTAATAATACAGAACAATGTCACAATGCCAGTGGTAAATAACTGTGCAATGAATTCTAATTTAAAGATTTAGCAGAAGGAAACTGATCAAGAACGTCTCGTCATTAGGGATACATGCATACTGTAGAGTAAATTCAAAAGTTGGTTCTGGAATTAATAAATATTCATTCATTGTTGTTGTGTTCATTTGACACATGATTATTTTCATTATTGATTATTTTTTTCATTAATCAATTATCGTTTGATCCATTAAATGCCTTGCTTGTATTGCCCAATCTGCATAGATATGGCAAAGACTTTCAATTTACAAATTAAATCCTCACATTTGAGAAGCTAAATCCACAGTGGCATTTTGCATGAAGAATGGTAAATGATTACTTGATTCAGAACTGTTGCACATTGCACAGTCTGTTATTCAACCAATCGATTCATTGTCTAATTGTTTTCAGCTGTAATGTCCCTCTATGCTCTAGCCTCTGTGGTCTATTATATATAATTTATGATTTTATATATTTTTTTGCCATATTTACTTAAATAGTGTATATGTATATGCATCATATACTGTATATCGGGCAACTTGAGAAAAAGTCTATATACTGTAAACACAATAATACTTTTAGCAGCTTGATGTATCCTTTTTAGAATTATTGTCCTTGAAGTTTGAGATGAATAAAGTTTTATATAAAAATGTCATTTTCCAGCTGATGTTTCATGTTTAAGTTACCTTTTAAAGGAATAACTTTTAGCATTTTGGTTTTTTGGTCAAGAGTTACATGTGAAGCTGGAGCCAACAGCTGGTTAGCTTAGCTTAGCAATCATTGCAGATCTGGACCTTATATCAAATGCTGCATTTTACAACAATGTTGCAGTTTTTAGCAGCCTATTACAATTAGCTTAGCTTAGCACAAGGACTGGAAACGGGGGGAAACAGCTAGCGCAGCTCTGTCCAAAAGTAACACAACACACCTACTAATAGCGTGTGTGTGGGGGCGTGGGGATGATGAAATAGCATGAAATTGTCTTCCCATTAAGAAAGACGCTGTGCATATTTACGCATGAGGTACAGCAGCATAACGTCATTGATTATTTGAATCCCCCGACACTCAAGACGGGATTGGTCAGGATGAACTGACAGCAGCCTCTCTGATAATGAAAGCAATTCATTAAAGCACAAACACATAGCACTTACGCATGATCCATCTGGGGAGCTACCGTCGTGTTAAGAGGAGCGGAGATCCTACAGTCTCGACCATTGGATTCCCGCAAAAGGAAATAACGTTACTTTTTTACTCATGGATTTGTATTTCTGCTACCAAAATGTTTCTTGTGTTGGTGAATAATGAAAAAACAAAACACCACTTAAAGAGGTGGTATTATGCTTTTTGGCTTTTCCCCTCTCCTTTATTTATTTATATAACTTTTTTGTGCATGTAATAAGTTTGCAAAGTGAAAAAGGGAGTTCCCATCTCCCACAGAAAGCACTGGTCTGAACCCCTTGAAAATAGCTTGTTTGTAGTCCAGCCCTTGACTTCCTTTACTTGTGACGTCACAATGAATAAATATAGCTTGCCAAGCGGCTAGTGGGGGTCAGGTACGCCCTCAAACCAAGCTAGTCTGAGCAGAGGCGCTCCGCAAGTGGCTGCAGGGGATGCCTGTGCCAACCCACGGGAGGAGCCTGCCAGCTGGTACTATCTCTGGGTACTATCTGCCATGAAAAACAGAGCAGGGCTGAGTAGAGTCGAGTCTATCGATTTGCACTATGGTAGCATTTTTCGGCAAGGCAGCATAGATCGTCAGAACACCGGCAACAGTTCAACAGTTAGCCCTAAAAGACGATGCAACTCCGACTATGTTTGGGCCTGGAAATTCACAACCTGTAAGTATGCTTTATTGGTTGTGAATTATATTTAAAATAAATAACTTCACAGACTGTTGAAGTGCGGAGTTGTTGTAAACGTTGGCTAACACAGCTAAAGTTATAGCTATAATGCTAATGTTACACCTGATGTGAAAGCTACTGAGCAAACATTCAAATTGTTTGGCCAATTTTTATGTAAAATTTAGTTGAAATATGGTGATTTTTGTAGTGGTTTACGGTAAGATGTGGAACAATGATGTTGTGTGGTTGTGGACTTGTTGGACTTAAACCATCTGCTAGGTTATGGTCGCAGTCTGAAGCGGCTTTGATTTGGATCACACTACCTTGTTTCTTACGACCCGCCCTTCTCTGCTTTTGATTGGCTAGTAGTCCTTACCTGGGAACTGCGCATGTGCAACTCCCAACAAAGATTTTGTACAAGTAATGCATCACTCTGTAGCTCAAGAGCGGAGCGTACAACACACAGGGTGAAAAGAGGAGCTACAGCAATGTGCAGTATGAGAAAAATATGGTGTTTTTTGAAAATTAAACAATGTAAACCTGTTCTGGTACAACCCCTAAATAAGATTTTGAACATGAAAATGAGCATAATACCACCTCTTTAATTTCAGGTTAAAATGCGTTGTAATGCGCGTTACTGAGATTGTAACGGGTATAATATTGCCGATTTTTTTAAAGTAATGCATTATATTACTGTGTTACAGAGTAAGTAATACATTACTGTATTGGGGTTATAATAACGTGCTTAAAATTAAGTAGTATAAAGCCACACATACACACACAAAATCATTTATTTATTTATGCTTTCTACAGCACACATTCTCATATACACAACATACAGAAGGCTGTTTCTTCATGTAGCTGAAATAAAAAGACCTTTAATGAAACGAAACACACAGACATCGCAGAAGCACACTCAAACACACAGACATATGCAGGCTAAGCTCCTTAGGTATTTGGTCTGTGACATTGTTTGATGTTTATTTTCAGCCACTCTGCATGATCAGTTTAAAATGCAGCGTTTTGTGCTGTGTGACTCACATTTACACACTTACCAAAACTAGATAACGCTCACTAAAAAAATCCAGTTATTAGGCTAAAGGGCCCACATCAACATTTTATTGTCAAAGTTACAGCTGAAACAATTAGTTGGTTAATTGATTAGATAATTAGATAATTGGTAAATCATTTAAGCCTAACTAACAAACATTCCCTCATTCCAGCTTCTAAATTTGTGTCTTTCGTTTATGTGATAGATATCTATGATTTTGGGGTTTTGGAGTGTCAGCATTGGGAAACTACGGAGGACATATTTACTAATTTTGCAGTTGTTGTAGATCAAATGATAAATTGATTAATCAAGAAAATAATCTGCATCTTTATCACTATCCAACACACTGGCATCCATCAGTGGTCTATCACAGAGCTGACACACAGATACATGGGCTTTGCTACACATCTAACTAAGGTGACAAATCAATATTTTGATAAAAAGAGTAAAAAATGACAACAAAAAGTTAGACTGTTACTTTAACTTCATCACGTTTTGCCTTGAGGTGCTCTTGTCACAAAATTGGGGGGGGCATCTGAAAGGTTGTCAAGGTGGCACTGGTGGTTGCTGGCTCCAGCTTGTCAGAAAATTTTTATCTGTTTGCCACCGGCATCTTGGCAAAATCAGGACGAGCCTCTTTGAGGTTTCAGTTGTGACTCAGCTGAGCTCTGAATTACCCAGAGGCAGTATGTTCAGCACGGAGGGTTACATGAGTATAAGCAGACAAGCGTCTGAGCTTTCAGCCTGATGTCAAATGGTTCTCTCTGTAGCTACAGAGCTTAAATTCTGACCTGCGCAGCTCTGCTAATTTCTACTTTCACTCCCATTAGAAAGGAGAAGAAAAACTAATCAACCATCAATTTCAAAGGCAAACATAATCTTTAGATCTATGTCTATGCATGTGTATGTATAGCATACGTATATGTATGGGATCACTTGGCTGAGAGATATGGGCTTTAGGAAAACCTAATTAAAAAACAGAAGCTGTTTTTTCATTTAATTCTGCATCGCTCTAGGCAGAAAACAGAGAAACTGGACAAAAATAGCACAGGAAGAGAAGTTAAATCCTTTAGTCTTTTCGGGCCAATTTATTGTTTTGTGGGAATTACGTATACTGTAAAGCAGGTGAAGTGTTTTTTTTATGGCATCACTGTTAATCACGCGCACAGACACAGTTAGAGGCAGCAAAACCTGAGAGAGTCTGGGTGAGATGGAGCTGTATTCCTCCTCGGGCAGACACCATTTTCTGCTCCGAGCTGTCTCCAGGCCTTAACATCGAGTGCAGCTATCAATCAAAGTTATTCCCAAAGTGTGTGAGGGGATAAAGGTCAGGGTTGGATGTTCCCCTTTTTCTTTCAAAGCCAGGAGATTTGCTAGGAATTGCTTTTTACTACATTCATCATAAAATGCAACATTTTGTTGTTCAACCTTAATAAAAGTTAGAAATTCTTAAGTAAACACTAAATAATTACCACTTCAGTCACTACAATAGTAAAACATAGGAATTTCTGTATCGCCTTCAAAAACCAGAGCCAGGTGTGGGATGTGAATGATTTAGCACATACAGCAAGCTGTGCAGGATTTTAGTGCTAGCCTTGAGCTAATACCTCTGCTGTTCTGACTGTGAAGGTCTGGTCACAACAGGAAGTGGCACAGAAAAATACATCTGCATGTCTTTGCATAATATTTGGCTCTAAAAGCTTGGAAACATGGTGACTTCAGGGCATTTGGTAAACTACTGTAGCTTTTAAGCGAACCGCAAATACGCTAGCCAGTCACAATAGCCCTCCAAGACTCCTATTTCCTCTGTACTGCACAGTTTACTACTTTCAATACTCTGGACACTGGATAATTGGTAACTGTTACATTTTTGTTGGTCAAATGACGAAACAGATAAATTTTAGATATTTGGAGTTCTCCGCGTACAACAACTTGTGTTGTAGAACCGGTGTGAATTAATTCTTAATCCCGCCCACAAGGCTCTAAATAGTTTGTTGATACTGCTGCTGAACCTTCTTTCACTGAAACTACATGATATTCTGAACTTGAAAATAAAAAAAGACATCACTCAGTTTGAAATCTGCTGTTAGTCATTCCTGCAAATATAAGCTCTAATATGTTTGACCTCATTGTCTCCTGGTGACTCTTAATGCATTTCCATATTTACATATCCTGTCAATATCCTAATAACTGAATATATTGCTGTTATCTTTGATTCATTATGAATACCTCCTCTGTCCTAGTACATGTGTTTCACCTGTTCCAGCAGGTCTTCCACCTTCCTCTGCCAGCCCTCTCTTGCCGCCATGATCTCCAGCTCTTTCTGCTGGGACATCTGAGTCAGCGTTGCCTGTTTGTCTGCTTCATACTCCTCATTCAACTCCTCCTTCAACAAACGCACTTCTTCCCTGCAGAGAGACAGGCAGAGTTTGGAAAAATTTGATTTTATTCCATGTGTGCCCACCCTGTAAATATCATATGCCTCTATAAACATCCGATTGTGTTAATTTCCTTTTGCTTCTTATTAATATCCATGAGTGCTTTGGCAAAACACGTCTACTTGTTATGCTAATAACAAGTGTGATTGTGAAGCAGAGGCGGCGAGAGATGGCAAAGATGAATGAGACAACAAATGGAAAGAACAAAGCAAGAGAAAGTGAGACTGACAGGCTAACAGAGAGTGTTACAAGACACAAGAGGACAGAGGGGAGAGTTGTTTTTTCTTCTGTCTTTTTTTTTTTACCGCAGTGCATCTCTCCATTTCTGATCCAAGTCATCTGCCATCTTGTCCATCTTTTGTTTCTCTTCTGTTCTGATGGACATCACTCTGGCTTCATGCTGCTGTCTCTGGGTCTCAATCTCCTCCTACAAACACAAACAGGTACACAAATTTTAGCCCGCACATAACGCTACAGTCACAATCACCATTTGTTATCAAGATACAGCGATAAATTGTGGTCAGACGATATAATGGTTTGAAATCATTTAATCTGTATCTGTATGTAAGAGTGTCAAACATGATTTTATAATACAAGCCACAATTGAAATTGGAATAAAGGACTCAAAGACAATATAAGTGATAAAGTATGTAGTTAAAACATCAAATAAAGCGGTGGATGTGCTGTAAACTTTAGTTTTGGTGAAAGAGTGCTGAATCCTTAACAACAACAATGTAAAGCTACTAAAAGTAAGAAAATCGTCTCCAATTGCTATCTCTGACCAGATGCCGCATTTCAATAGCTGAACGCTGGGTGACTCATGACACCCACCTCCACATCTATTTATAATGCCACAGCTACAGGGCCCTGTATAATGTGCTGGTTCCAAGGCAGACGCTAACATCACCGGGTCAGCCGCTTCCAGCTGCTGAAGAGGCCCCGGGGTTTATCTGCTGATGAGCTCATTAAAAGACCTAAAAGCTCTTCTGTGCAGCTTCGAGGGAAAGTGCTTGAGTGATTAAATCCAGACTCAACTGTTTGGAATCAGAGAAATAAAGTTCAAAATGACATTTCGCATAACTAGGGGTCTCTGATAGTGATGTAGAAGAGATTCCCATCTCTCATCCATTCCCACAATATATACTAATATGGTGATATAAAATAAAATTTTATCCATTTTGCCAACTTCTGCTATAAACATATGTTTAACCAAAGGTCTGATCAGCTGCCTTTGACAGTTCCTGACTCTCTTTGGCAATTTTACATAATTTAAACCCTGTTTCAGGTTATCAGAGGGTTGGATATTTATAGTCATGGAGATGTTTCAGTAAGCCAAGTATGGCCCACGCTGTTCTGGATTTCTCACATAAGGTGACTAACAGTCTCATCACCACCTTAGTAGAGATTGAGCATAGCAATTTCATCATAATATTATGATTGAGTCATGTAAACATGACAGAAAATCTGCATGGCATTCAGACAATATCGTAAAACAGCTTTATTTGCTGTAGTTTCAGCCTTCAGTTTGAATTGGCATGTTCAACCAATGATATGTCAGAGCCTACTGCCATACAGACACACACACACACACACACCTCATTTTAGTAAAAAAAACAAACAAAAGAAAGTAAAATGAGTGTATTCCAAGGCAAAGTCCTGCATTCAAACTTTATCAGCAAAATGTTGTCAAAGTATCACAGGTACAGAAAAAATACTACACTGAAAAATGGCACTTTAACGATTACTTGATATGTTATTGACATTATTAGATTGTAAGTACTTTACTAATAGTACGCATAAGTAGCATTTTACTGTTTCACTTTCTATAGTTATGTTTTTTAGTCCAGTGGTCCCCAACGTTTGTCAAGACAAATCAGATGACCTTTTGGAGAGAGAGAGAAAAAAACATATTTTGGACTTAGAACTTTAATATTTGCCTTATTTGAGAGTGTTTTACCTCTCAAACTGTTATTTAAATAAAACCATCAGGAGTTTAGAGGGAAAATCACTCTTTGGTGGCTAACATCTGAGAGAGGCAGACTAGACATTGCTTTTTTGTCACTAGCCAAAAACCCCTTGTAATGCTTTGTATTTTGTAACCTTATATGTTACATTTATATAACAATTTTATCTATTTTAGCGAAAATCACTGAATTGACCCGGCCTATATTTGGGACAGGCGTCCATATGAGACAGGCCAGTAGGAATAATACTTGTATAAGAATTATTATATCAAATAACCTATCTATTACAAATCCACTGCTTCAAAAGGTTAGGAGTAGTCACTTTTTTTCATCTCTCGTTTACCATGGCGGTAAATCTGAGTGAATTATACTCTGGGGCTCGTTGTTTACGTAAAATGAACTAGAAAATCTAACCATTCTAACAACGTGTAGCGTGTCCAAACTGAAAAAAGTTTAAACATTTATATTTGTATGTGTGGTCTATGTAGCTTAGCTCAAGCGGAACCCAGTGGGCTTTAGGAGGTTTTATGCATCAAAGATCTTCTATAAAAACCAGGCCAGGCGTCTAATCGAGACCTGCGTTTATTTTTTGAAATGTGTTCCCACATCAGGCCAGTAAATGGGACAGGCGGAAATTTGGGACTCAGCTATTCACTGAAGTTTTATGGTAGCTACTACAGTTGTCAGATAAATTTAGTGGAGTAAAAAGTATAGTAATAAATGGGAAATTAGTATAGCTTAATATTCCAACACAAAATATAGTGTATATGCTGTGTATGTTTATTTGTATGTGTTTTATTCATTTAAACAACCAAATATAATTTTTTCTAACAATTAGTGCTGGATTATCCCATTTCAAAGCTAGCATGAAATAGACACTACAATATTGCTTTGTGGAAAATAACCTGTTCATTTTTACAGTTTCATACTGTAAATTAACTAAAGTTTATCTGAACTTTTTGGGTTCTTTTTACTGCCCTTTTATAAAAGGCTTCTCAAGGGTTGATACCCTGCTAAACAATAGCTGGTCTAAATTCAGTATGCAGCAGTGCCCGGCTGGCTCAGTGCTTGTGTCGATCCTACAATGAGCTCAATACAAGATACAATCCTGTGTAAGGCTTGCCATTTTTAACAGTCCAAATCCTCTCTTTTTATAGATCCCGGGCTCTGGTGGGAAAGCAAAAAGCACCAATCTACAATTAAATGTAATTATCACTCCTCATTCAGTCTCTCTGTCCTCTGCCTGTTTTATCACCACTCTTACTGTCTTTTATTGGCTATTTTTTATTCACTGATTTCCACCAGCTGTAATCTTTTCACTCATTCATATTTTAAACTTAACGCCTTTGTGCATGTTGGTGTGGTTTACTCTTAAATTCAATGAATTAACATGATTTGATTTAGGTTTTCAAACCTTTTATTTTGCAATGATTAAATTTTCAACATTATCCGTATTATTAATAGCATTGATAATATTAATAAAAAACAACCAGCCTCTTTTCCTTTCTCTCTTACACACTCACTCTTCCTGTCTCCCTCGTCTCTCCCATACCAGCAGGGCTCCTTTCAAACACAGACCACTCAACTCATAATCGCCTCATCATCGTTATCTCACAGCTGGCCTTCAGTCCTGCAGTGAAATCTCATAATTTCCTGTTTTCCTGCTTTCAAATTGTTTCCCCCACTCCCCATCCTTCACCTTTTCCATCCTTTTCTCATCTCCTCTGTTTCACAAAAACTGATTTTCCGCAAAATGATCAGCAAACTCCATTTATTGAGATTTGCTTGATTGGCTGACCAGTTGACAGACTCATCAGACTGACTAGCTGATAGACTTACTGTCTTACAGTTACATGATGCAAATCACTGACTGCCATTCTGACTGACAGGTTGACTGAAGACAAAACTGTTAATCGGTTGCACTGCCCAATCAAGTGACTTGACCGATCACCTGTAAATCAGGTAGCAGATAGTTCGGCTTTGGATTGCACTCTAAACCCTGGAAAGAACTCTATTTTCTAATTAAAATACTCTGCAGTATACTACATCTATAATGCACTGAACTCTAGTGTCACATTCAGTTCAAGCATGGACACAGGAATGCAAGTATTCTGGGACACCGAGATGGAACAAGTACAGTTTTAAAGTTTTAATAATAATAAAACAAGTAGTGAACAGGTTTACGACAATAATACAGACGGAATATATAAAGAACGTAGGGAAACACGAGAAACGGGCTGTAAAGCTTGACATAAGACAAAGATGACCTGGCAAGAAACAAGTGGAGTATACCCACTTAAATACACAAGTGAGGAAAACAGACAAATGTGAAACGAAATTAGGGCAGGGCATACAATCAAACAGGCGGAAAAACACACAAAGGAAGGAAGTCAAGTAACATGGTTTCATCTGGATCCAGATGAAACCATGGTATCCTATGACGTGACTTCTTTGTTCACCTGCATCCCCACCATAGAGGCAGTAGAAACCGTTAGGAAACGGCTAACACAAGACAACACCCTGGACAACAGAACTAGCCTCAGCCCTGACCAAATCTGCAAATTACTCGACCTCTGTCTAAACACCACCTATTTCCAGTACAATGGTGGATTCTACAGACAGAAGCATGGCTGTGCCATGGGCTCACCGGTATCCCCGATTGTGGCCAACATCTACATGGAAGAAGTGGAGAGTAAAGCCCTCAACTCCTTCAGAGTAATAGCACCGAGCCACTGGTACAGATATGTGGACGACACCTGGGTCAAAATCAAAAGCCAGGAAGTGCAAGCCTTCACAGAACACATCAACTCTGTGGACAGTAACATCAGCTTCACACGAGAAGATGTTCACAACAACAGTTTGGCCTTCCTGGACTGCGCTGTACACATTGAAGAGGACAGGAGCCTGCAGATTGGTGTTTACAGAAAACCCACACACACAGACCAATACCTACTCTTCGATTCACACCACCCACTGGAGCACAAGCTAGGGGTCATGAGAACACTGCACCACAGAGCGGAAAACATACCAACAAGCGCCCAAGCCAGAGAGAAGGAACAGAACCACCTGAAGGGGGCACTTACAGCCTGTGGATACCCTAAATGGACCTTTGTGAAGACAACCACAAGATCCAAGAAGAACAAAACTACAGGGGAGGAGGAAAAGAAGGTCAAACGCAACAACATTGTGATTCCATACGTGTCTGGAGTATCAGAGAAACTCAGGAGGATTTTTAACAAACATAACATCCCTGTGTTTTTTAAACCCAAGAACACACTAAGACAGATGCTGGTACACCCCAAAGACCGCACACCCAAACACAAGAAAAGCAATCTAGTGTATGCGGTCCAATGCAGTGAGGAATGCACAGACCTGTATATTGGGGAGACTAAACAACCACTACACAAACGCATGGCTCAACACAGAAGGGCCAACTCCTCAGGTCAAGACTCTGCAGTCTACTTACATCTGAAGGACAGAGGACACTCGTTTGAGGACCACCAGGTGCACATTTTAGACAGAGAAGATGGATGGTTTGAAAGAGGTGTCAAGGAAGCCATCTACACCAGGGTTGAGAAGCCGTCATTGAACAGAGGAGGGGGTCTACGCCACCACTTATCCCCCACTTACAATGCTGTCCTTTCATCACTTCCCAGGAAACTCAACAAACGCAACCTATTGGCCTCAGGTGAAGATACCAACGATGGTCGTTCAGTCTTGGCCACAGGTAGTCTTAACGACTGTAACGACTGTCGTCACAGCAACAAGGAACACTAACGAACCAGCGGTATCGATGACCCGGGATAACGACCCCACTGAGGTTAAATAGCTGAGTTTCCCTGCCAGTCAGTCAGAACTGAAGAAGTCCTTTGGATAAGGGACGAAACGTCTTCCAGTAGCTTCAACCAAGTCCAGTTGCCCTTCATTTTAACCCTCGTTGGATAACTATGACCTGGATGACTGAGAATCTTCATAGACAACATGAGTAGGGATTCTTTCAAAATAAAAGAGGAATTAACAGAACCCAAAACCGTGACATCTGGTTTTCATGCCATTAGTAGTAGTTTTCACCCCAAAACACACAATCAGGCACATCAGGTAAAAACATCTTACACACTGTAAAGAACCACACACTCGGTCAGCCACTTGTCCTCTGTTGAAATGCTCTGATTCACTTAGTTTGAGTCAATTGAATCTTACATGATGAAGGTCTACTGACAAATTAAATAAAGTGAGAATAGCTGACAGTGTGCAGAATCAAGTAAAAAGACGCAGCAGCTGTGAGTCAACAGAAAAGTCTTACTGTAAATAGCTTTCAGAGCCCAGCTGACGTACTTAAGTTTTACTCCACTTTGCTTCTTGAATCACAGTTAAAATCCACTTTTATGATGCACAGTTCTTAGTGTCCTTGCATGCAAGTAACTTAGCAGGTTACTAGTTTCTCAGACTCTTCTTACATTTATGGATAGACCCTGACCCTTTCTTCTATAAAATGGAGGTAAACAAGGAGGTCAAGCTGGAGTACAAGTATAGACAGCGTTCAATTGGTACGCTTCCAATTATGAAGTTTTTTAACAATTGTTAGCACTAACCTCAGTGGTTTTACTGAATATGCATAAATGTATACGGTTCAGCCTATATGGTGAATAAACTATCCAACAATAAATAAATAATGGATGAACATTTTCTTGGGTTAAAAGGACTTTCCTGTTTCCCTGATAATTAGCCACAAATTACGTAGTTACTTCCAGAAAACAAACCAGCAAATGTTTTTATATATTTAATATGATGTAAAATAAAGCTTACCCAAACTCTAAATCACCAGTATTTTCCTCACCTGTAGGTCAGTCAGCAGGTTGCTGGTCTCTCGAACGCGGGATCTAGTTGCGTCCAGTTCTATTTTGAGTTTCTCCTGAGTTTCCTTCAGACAGTTGATCTGTGTCTGAGCTGAACCCAGGTTCTGCTCCCCCTCCCTCACCAGCTCCTGGAGGTGGGACACCTGAGGGAGATCAACAGAGGGTCATCACAAGATCTTCAGAAGATTGGTTACATTTTAGGAATCTAGGTAGAGTTGACTAAACGTTTCGTACTTCCTGATTGGCCATATTGAGCTTGGCTGAAAGCTCCTCTTTCAAGTTGTCAAGTTGCTGCTGAAGGCGATCTCGCTGCTCCTCCAATGACAGGCGCTTAATCTCAAACTCTTGACTCATTTTCTGTAGAGAAGAAGGGAGAGAAAGAGAAAGGAAGTAATGAAAGAGGAGAAGAGGAGGAACGACAACACGAAAATATCAGAAATTGAGCCAGCTCTTTAGTGTTTGCACCAACCGTGAAATCAGAGATTTATTCTAAAAATGTTGTATTCAAATACCATGCACTGAAATTATCAGTGCATGTGTTTACTATGAGGGACCAGCAGCTCTTTCTTTCTTTTCTGTTTTATTCCTACTGAAATACCTTGAAAATATATCTCGAAAAAAGGAGAGGAGTTAAGAAGCCCCCGTAAATCCCATTTGTGCCGTAATATGGAGCCGTGGCAGTTGTTGAGTGTGAAGAATGGTCACTGAATGATGGAGGGACACGTGAGTTGTCATTTAAACTTAAAAGGCCATCTCGTCAAACCGACCAATTCCTATAATCCTTCAAACCACAGCACCAAATCCTTTCTGGGCCACTCTGAATTTCTCTTGTGAAATCTATTCTGTTTACTTCTTGGTTTCCCTTAGCTGTTTATTCCTGACACTGATATCTGTAGAGGATATTTTTGAAAAACAAAGTATTATGAAACAGAGGTATCATTGTGCGTTGTTTGTATTGTGGAAGTTGTTTAGCTGTACACTACTGCTGGATAAACAGCAGCATAGTATCTTTAAAGACTGATTTCTGGGGGTCAAATTGAGTCCATTCTTTACAAACGATTGTGATGATTTCACTGTGATTTCAAATGTTTCCCTGTATACAGTATGCCTAACATGTGCTGAAGTAATGCTAATTTAGTAACTGTAGAATATCTCTCACCCCAACATGACCTCTGATTATGATGCAACCTTAGATCAATGCTAATGTAGGGTTGTAAAATCTGACAATATCTACAGTGAGTTCATACTGAAGTAGCTTTCCCTTTAATGGTTGTATTGATCATTGCAGACACTGTGTCACGGCCTATCCGTGACTTATGGTTTTATCTCCCCTGTTAGTGGGGTGTGTGTGTGTGTGTGTGTGTGTGTGTGTGTGTGTGTGTGTGTGTGTGTGTGTGTGGGGGGGGGGGGGTTCTCCAGGGCACCTGGCTCTCAGGCGCGGCTGCAAGTGATCATCTAATCAAGCTCCAGCTCAAGTTCTCCTGAGATCCAGGCAGCCAGTGCCAGTTTGTTTTAGTCACCCTCGTGGTAACGTACCCTTGGCTAACCCTCTAGTATATTGCGGATTCCTCTGTGTTAACCTCCATTCCTCTCTGTGCACAATTTGGAGTTGCCTTCGCCTTTGCTACCTGCCACACCACCAGCCCTGGACTCCACACCTGCCTCGCCTACCACAACTCCGCTGGTCATACCACTACCTTCACCCCTCCTGCAAGATCACCTGTACAACCGAGCGTTCATTAAATCTACTTGCTAAACCTAACCTTCGAGTCTGTGTTTGCTCCTGAGTCCAGCCCAAGCACACAACACACTGTAACAAATTATCCTGAATTTACAGGATTTTGGCATCAATGTACATTGATTTGTCAGATTTGAGCTGAGTGTCATTCCCATCTGTTTATTTTATCTATATAGTTTGTAGATTGTATTTCCAGAAAGTTTGCTTTATCACAATACATTTCTTTTAATATCACCATATAAAATGTTACATGTACACACAACAGTCACATATTGCCAACTTCAACTAGTAAAATATTGGTTCAGTGTGTACATTACGATCATTATTCACCACCCCGACTTGTCTGATGTTATGAAACACGCAAGTTGAAACAATGAGAATCTTTCCAGGCTACGTCTCCCTTCTCACATCCCGTGAACAGCCTACAAAGCAGCCACCCATCTTATCTTACCCACATGGGAGCAACCAGTAATCCACATCCTCTTTCTTTACCCAATTACAGTACATGCACAAGCATAATGCCGCAACCAGCCTTTGACAAGGTTCAAGGTTCAATTTATTCATACTGAAAAACATGGAAATTACTAATAAACCACCTCTGATTACAAAAACATTGAGAATACCCTTAAAATAAAACATAGATAAAGACAAGATTAAACCATATCCCATAAAAGAAACTGTTAAAATGGGCATATAATTAAAATTAAATTAAAAAGAGTTTATATATAAGAGCTACAATCACTAGTCGATTAATCAATTAGTTGTAAACTATTAAATTAATCGCTAACTATTTTGATAATCGATTTGTTGTTCAGTCATCATGTCATTTATTGATTACAAATGTGTAAATTCTCAAATATTTACATTTTCTATGACAGTAAACTGAATACATTTGGGTTATGGACGTCACCTTGGACTTTGGGAAACACTGATCGATATTTTTCACCATTTTCTGACATTTTAAAGACCAAAGATCAAAAATCAATTATTCGTGAAAATGATCGACACATTAATCGATAATGAAAAAAATCGTTTGTATTATCTATACAAATTCTGGTTCTCCTTTTATATCCCCTGTGGGATCAAAGAGAGAATAAGATTTAGCGTGAGTGGTTTTAAATAGAGCTGCAATACCATGTCATTTTTCCAGCAAAAATGCCAAACATTTTTTTATTTATTTATTTATTTTTATTATTATTTATTTAATTATGTATTGATTTGTCACTGGGCCGGACAGGGGGGCAGACACGGGGATGGGGGGGCACAAACAGACAGCACAGAGAAAGGACAACACCTGTAAGAGAAGGGGGAAAGGGGGATGGAAGGTGGGGACAACAGGGAAAAGCTGTGGGAAACACCAATTGCAGAAAGCAACGAAACCTGCAATAGAACAGAGAGGGGGGAGGAGGAGAAAAACACAACAAACAAACAAAAACAATAAAAATAAAAATAATAATAATAGTAAAAGACAACCAGCCAAACAGCAGCAATGAACAGCTGACATAGTAAGACAACTAAGAGAAAAATGAAAACAAGAAACAGTCACACACACTAAATAAGCAACACAGCACAGCCACGAGAGCTGGAAGAATAATTAATTTAAATAAGTAACTGAAAGAAAAGCATCAGGAATAATTCTACCAGGGACAACCTAAATTTGTTTGTGTCTGTGTGTGTCTGTGTGCGTGTGGGTGAATGTGTCTGTATGTGTGTGTGTGTACATGTGTGTGCGCATAAGCCTGTTAAAGAATGTAGTTGTTAGTGAGAGTGGGATGCCACGACTGTGCCACACCTACCCCAGCAACAGGCAGGCAAGAACCCCAGTAGCCAATAGGGGTAGGAGAAAGAAGAAGAAGAATAAATCAATCGCAAAAAAACAAAGACTCCCAGATGCACCGCAATGCAAACGCAGAAGACCCCGACCCAAATGCCAGTTGACAACATAATGCAGATGGAACGCAAAAAGCATAATCTGCGGAAGAGCAGCGCCCGGACCGACCGCGGCGCGCACACAACATAGACCAGTGCCCCCCCCACACCCAGCACCCCACTGCCGCGCAGCGAACAACCAAAATGCCCAAATGCCACGCAATCATCAACACCAATGCACAAGTGACGAGCCCAACGCGCACACTGTGCGAGCACGGCAACACCCAATGCCCAGCAGCCCCCCGCGAATCCCGCGTGCGAGGTCGGGCAAACGAGAGAGAGCAAACGGAACAACACGACAGCGAAAGCCAGCGGAGAGAAACACCAGCAGCAAGTCCCAGCCTGGCAGCAAACGTGCCCGCACAGGTCACCGTGCACCCGCCAATAAAAGTCCGCCATCCCCCCAACCGCCGGAAAAAACTAAGGCCACCGGCGCCAGCCGACATCCCCCATGCCCAGCACGCCCCCTGGCCACCGTGCAACACCAGACAAACCAGCAACGAGGCAAAATCAACTAGCTCAGCTGCATGCCACCAACAACCCACCCACCCGTCAAGGGCCGAGAACTCCAGGCACAAACCCAGAACAAACCGGAGCACAGCCCTGCCCCGCACCCACACTGCACATCCTGAAAACTAACTATATACCTCAGTATCCAGAGGGTTCCAACAACTGGCCGACAGAGAAATGGGGAAGCACGGATCCGAGGCCAACGAAGCAAAACAGGGACGCAAACAGGTCCCTCCAAGCCAATGAGGAAATGCCTCCCCCGGACTCCAATGCACAAACTAAACGCCCAGCAGCCATCCAGAGACCCTGCCCAGGGGAAAAGCATAATGCATCAAGATGCATCGACAATCGCCCCACAATCCCACTGCAGCTCACCAAACCGCAATCGGATCAACCCGCGCAGAGACCCCCACCTCCAGAAGCCAGGACACCCTGCGACCCCCCAAAGCGCAAAGGACCCCAGACCGCATGTCCCGGGGGAAGCTGTACCCCGCCCCAAGGAAGAACAGCAGAAAGCCGTGCCGGGAAGCTCCCTGCCGCCAGGGAGCGATAACGCGGGAGAACCAGGCCAATGGTCCCCCAGCCCAGCCAGAGGCATCCCTCCCTACAATGCAGGCAGTGACAGCAGCCCCCGAGGCCGATCTCATCCCCGGACAGGGGCCCAGCCCCCCCCAGTCAAGCACCCCCAAGGAGGAGCACCAAAACCTACCCCGACAACACCGGCCATGCGCCCCAGAGACTCCCGAATGCCCCCACCGTGAGAGAGCTGGCAGGGGGAAGCAGCGGGAGCCTCACCTCTGCCGAAGAGGGCCCAGGCAAGGAGAGGAGACAACGGGCCCCCAGGCCCAGGGACACACCACCCGCCCAGAAATGAGCAAAGGCCACAAGCCCGAGTCCCCAGAACCCTAGGTCAAGGGCGGGCCCCCACGACCCCCCCCAGCCCACCCGAGATCAGGCAAGGCCGTCATCAACCCCACAGCACCCCCGACGCCCGGGGCTCCAGGGGTAGGACACGAGGCCAATGAGAATCTCCCCCACTCCTTCAACCCCTCTGCCTGCCTCTGTAAATGTAAAATGCCAAACATTTTGATGGCTCCAGCTTCTCAAATGTAAGAATTTGTCTTTCCTTGTTGATATTATAGCAAATATCTTCAGGTTTTAGACTGTTCATTAAACAAAACAAAGCATCTGACACCTTCACCTTGGGTTCTAGGAAATTGTGATGGATATTTTTCACAATTTTATTTTATCAACCAAATGATTAATAGAGAAAAAAACGCATCAGATTAATTAGATTAAACAATAAAAAAAAGAATCCTAGTCTTAGCCCTAGTTTTAACCTGCTGCTGCATTCAATGAGACAATCCATACTGTTGACAGTGACATTGAACAAGATTTTATTGCCTTTGTTTAGAAACTTGCTGTCATGATGTCCATCTTTTACATCTGTCAAATGACCAGTTCTGTCTTCTTTACCTCTCCACCATCCATCCCTTTCTACCTTTTCGTCTCACCCTCTCCATCTTCCTGCATCCTCTCTAATTTCGCTCCAAATAAAAACAGACATTAATCTAAAGATGAGGCACGGCGCTGTTCTGGCTTACATAATATATACTTTTTTTCATAATTTCTCTCGTGCCGCTATCTCCATCTGTTCTCTCCATCGCTTTTTTCTTTCAGGGAATCTATAAACACACACCCACATGCTCAACGCTCTCGCTTGGCTTGGAGGCAGGATTTAATGTCAATGAGAATTAACCAATTAGCAGTCATCTTCAAACAGCACTGGAGCTATGCGCTCAAGAAGGGGCTGCGGGATGAAAAATGTTATAAAAGAGGAGAAATATAGGAAGAGACAGAGAGAGAGCACAGAGTTCAAAATTATTTAAAACTCAAAAAGTGTGTAATCATTTCAGAGGCAGAAACTATGTCTTCATTTTAGACAAATAGCTGCAATGTTAAAAGAATAGTCTTGAGTGTCAACAAGCTCCAGAATCAATGGGATTTGTTAATGTTCGCTGAATGCAGGTGGAGCCAAATGAGCGTGGACAAATTGGGTTTAATGTGCTGTAAACAAGCCCTCCTCTTCTACCACTCCAGGACAAAATAAACTGCTGACCAATCAGATAGCGACTACCGCTCATTAGGGCCATCACCATGTGGGATCCTGTGATTGTCAACAAAATGTTGCCTTTTATTTCTGGTCTGTTTCGTTATTACAAACACAGAGCATATAGGCTGACGGGCAACTCTGTGAGCACTTTTTACTGCTCCTTATGTGTTTATTTATGTTCTCAAAAAGAAATAACAGGCTCGAGCATTATTAGTCCAGACAGCAACTGGTCATAAATGTCATAAATGCTGAAGAACTCATAGAAACAGGATGAAAAAGATGAGTCTTATAATGTAAAATTTATTAAATTTAGTTATTAAGTATTCAGAAAGAGGCTAAAATGAGGGCCTGCATGAAGGTAAGTATAAGTAGAGAACCACAAAACTACAATATAGGGCTTTAAATGCAGTATAACATGTCCCCTTCAAGCCCCAGGATTCGAACAGGATTAATACTGTAACTGGAGGAGGGGAATAATCATTGTAATTTAACTAATTGTTCTGGACTGCATTACAAAATGACAGGATGTGGTTCACAGACATTTTGCAGGAGTAGCCAAAAGAGAATATCAGTACAAACCTGTGGCTGACATTACTGTACACATATGATGAGCTTTTAGGGAGTTCCCAAATAAGCCTATTTGTCGGTGTTAACATGTTTTCGTCTTTCAGCTTACACCATTTTCACACAAAAGTCCAGTTGAGATCCACTTTTAAATACAAGAACGTGAATAACTGCAGGTAAATGCAGCTGTAGTTATTTCAGGATTTAAAATCGTTGACCAGTGCAGTTAATGTTAAAATCACTCCACCTCCTCAAGAGAAATACATCCAGTGCAAATGGAGCTTCAGATGTACTGTCAAACGTAAAACAGTTTAATTGAATATATGCACTCATAGCTGATGCTTGTTGCCTTTGGCGACTTTTTGTTGCATGATGTTAATCGCCATCGATTTAACAATCAAAAGCAGTTTTATATTGTCTTATGTGGCTCTGGAGGAGCTTAGTCAAGTCTGAGAAAGTATCTAAGCTTCATTTTTAGTTACCAACTGAGCTGAGGATGTTTGAAGGACGTGGGTGTTAACGAGGCGGCTGCATCGCCGGCTACTGAAACATACATTGTTTTTGGAGCTTGACCCACACTAGGGACTAAACAGTCAGGATTTCTCAGCCTCTGCTGCACTGTTTTGGACACTAAATTGCTGGAGTACCCATTTGAGGCTAAAATTTTATATTTTTTTATACAGTCTATGGCTAAAATCCATCATCACGGTGCTTAGCCCCTATTAGTTTTGTAGTTTGTTACAGAATCTCCCTGGTTTTGGGTTTCGCTTCACTCTTACTTTCCTTTTCCTGCAGTACTTTCATCTAACGCTGATTAACTGATCACGTTCATACAGAAAGATGCTAGAAAGACAGCAGAATAATAAATTGAGACTAGTAAGAAACAGTAGAGTCCTCCAAGGTACAACCATTTGCTGTTGCTAACATAATGCTGTTTTGGTAAATAAATCCTGGTAAATCAATTTAGCCTACATATGTAATCTGATCTGTTGTTGTTGTTGCTACTTTGGCAACAAGGACATTTGTATTCCCTTCATGCAGCCACCTTCATGCAGGGCAGAGAGGATGAGGAGTGAAAACAGGAGGAAGAAAAAATAAAAAAACAGGATGACAGAGTGGAAGCTGCAGATGGAAACACAGGGGGAGAGCGATGTTGTTTTCACATCTTAGTCTTAATGCTGATCTAATTAAATGTGTGTAGTCAGTTGAGGGAGCTGCTCGTTTCTTAAGAGATACATATTTCTTAAACGACTGAGGCCACTTGCTCTGATGAGGAAATTCAATTGCTGATGTTGCTGCACTGAAAAGATAGATACAAAAGAGCCCAGAGAGGCTAATTACTGGTTTTATATGAAAATTTAACAAACTTCAATTGTTTCCTGTTCCTTGTTTTGTCGCCATGTTGTATATATGGTTAATTTTTACTTTCAAAAAAGGGCAAACAAAGAGTTAAGACAAACACATCTCAAAATACAATACAACAGCAGTTTGTAATGCAAGATTCAGCAATATGGTAACGCAGAGAAACACAGCCGTGACAGTATTTCTTTCTTTAAGGATAACTCACTTACACAGCATTAATTCAAACCAATCTGTAGATTTGATATACTGTATGTCGACACCACATCTCAAACCATAGAAAAATTAGTACAGTTATTTTTGCCAAATTGTTTAGACTTTAAAAGTAATGATTTTCTAAATATCAAACATCCCTTGTATATTCCTTCCTGATTATTGTGTTTAATGTTTTTTAATTAACATGTATAATGAATCTTGAATCTCACATAGTTCATATAAAGATAAAAGTGTTTAGCAATCGTGAGCAAAGCAAAGTAAATGTGGGATTACAAGGTTCTTCAAATGTTGTTACTGTATGTTGGTGTGGGGCAAGACATACAACTAATATAAAACCATTATGTATATTAGGAGAAAAGAGCAGTACAAATTATAAATAAGGTGGATTCAATGGAACATATTAACAGCCAAAACTGAAAATTTGAATTGAATTAAAAACAGATTATTACCCGAACAATGATGATCAAAGAGGGACAAAACTCAATATGAATATTCATTTGTTAAAGCAGATTTCAGTAAGTGCAGTCAGATTGTGAATTCATTGGGGGAAGACTTAAAATGTTCAAGCATTATTCAATTTAAGAAAATGTACAGTGTAGAGATCAATGATATAAATTATGTGAACTGCAGTAATGTTCTGTCGGCTGTCATCGATTCTGTCTGTGTGTGCATTGATGTGTGTACATATCTTCAAGGATAACGTTGTTCAAAGTATTGGCAGACCATGTTTGTTTATGTTAGTTATTTATTTTTGGGGGAAAGCAATAAAACACTTCTCTATACTCCTTTGCGATAGTGGAATATTACTTTCTTAAAATGGATTGCAAAACTTGGCAATATCTTGTATTAACAGATGATATCACAAACATAACTGGTGGCTTTTATAAGGGAGCCACTGCAAGTACACTGAAACGAAAAGAAACCCATGTCATTTACATGATTGATGCTTTTCTACCACAACTTATCTATTATACATGTTTTATTTCTTTTTGGGCGTGAAAGTACATTGCGATCTTGGATAATTTGACAAGATTATCAAGGTCTTATTAGCCGAAACACCAAATCCTAACATTGGACTCACCGTCATGAGGAGCTTTTTCTCCTCCTCTTTCTCCTGCTGCGCCTCCTCCCTCATGGCCTTATGTTTCTCCTCCATTTCCTCCAGCGCTCTGACCTGCGCCTCCCTGAAGCGAAGAGCCTCCTCCTCATAGTGGGCCCTCAGCCTCGAGAGCTCCTTCTCGTAGCCCTGGTGCTCCTCACGCAGAGACTGAGGAGAAGAAAAGGAGGAGATAAGAAGTTGGCTTTATATGATTCATGACCTGGACTGGAATTAAGGACGGGTTAATAGTACCTGTTCTAGCTTGAGCACATGTTGTCTGTGCTGTTCACTGGCGGCCTGGCTCTGGTTGAGCAGAGCCTCCCTCTCTTCCTCCAGCCTGCTGATCTTCTCCTTTAGACGGCTCTGCTCCTGGTCCAGGTTCCTAATGGTCGCCTCGTGGGCCATCTGGGTGGCCTGCAGGGAGCCAATCTGACCTGGAAACAGTCAAATCAAAATCCCAAGTCTGTCAAAGAGGCACTACAGTTAGCAATTAGAGCAGCTTTAACCTGATGGACACACCGAACACAAATCTGGCAACCTTTAAAATGTATTTGAGCATTTGGCATTATTATTGCTTTAGTGCTGAGGCAACAGTTACGTCAACATATTCTGCAACTGGAGAACAGGAGGCGAGCCTTCTGTCTTCTCCCCAAAAGTATCGGCTTTTCAAAGGTTCCCCTGAGTAAGACTTAAAAGTGGTAGAGGTCTGGTAAATAGGAAGGGAAAGAAGTGTGGTGCAGATGCTCCAAAAAGAGAAAGTAGTCAAAAGAGAGTTTACATGACAAATGTCTTTAAAAAGGATTATAAAATGTTTAATCCAGTGCTTTGAAATGGAATCAAACTTCTTTTCAAACAAGCCAGTTTATATGAGGCTCTTATTCTGCTTACTCCCATAGCATACCAAAGCAAGAGCAGCCCTAAACATGGTGTCTCCATGAGGACACTCTTATTCTAACCTGTCCTGTCTGTTGTTGTTCTTGCTGTTTGTGGTTTACATTTGTTGGGAAATGTTATGTGGGGAGGATAATGTTGAATGTTGATTGGTGATGGGCAGGCTATGAAAAAGAATTTCCCTCTGGGGACAATAAAGTCTAATCTAATTTAATCTACTCGTGGCAAAAAGGCTCCACTTAGTTGCAGTTAAGCAGAAGGTGCTCTACAGACTGTCCTACAGTATAGCCATAAAAAAAAATTGACTGACTAAATTATTTTTTGTTCATCCATGACTACTGGTCAAATTCATGTAGCTCCCAAATCCAGGAATGTATGTAGATTCCAGTTGTTTTAATCCGACCTACTGTAGGGCCACATGTAGAAACAATGCATATTCACAAAATCCATGTATACAACATTTCCTACATGCAAATACATCTAGCTAGTAAAATGCCTATCAAAGGTGCATTTTCTTAAGTTGTGTGATCAATCTGAAGTCATCATTTTACTCTCTTACATTCTCTTACATCTTTTCTTTTCATGGTGACCTTTCATGTGAAGTGGCGTTGTAAAGTATAAATTAACTAAATCATTGATTACCTTTGGCGATAATGATTGGGTTATCACTGCTGATGATGGTTAGCAGGTACATGTGACAAATTAACTATATGGGTGCTATAAATGCACATAATGTAGGCTGCTCTGGCGCTGTCTTGCCCTCGCCGTTGCAACACAATCAATGAAAGCTCGCTTCTTCTAAGACCGGTAGAGCAGACAGGGGTAATTATATGCAATGTCTGAATCTGCACTATTTATGATCAGCTACAGGAGAGGAAATCAGGCTTTTGCAAATGTACAGATTCACAATGACTGATATTAATAAAACAGAACCATGTGTATGTATAAATCTGACCTTTCGTCATTTCATTGGTGAATCTACACAGTTTTAAGGTATGTGGCTCCTGGTGTAGGTAGTTATCCCTTTCAAAAATGTGGCTACATACACGTAGTTTCTTGATACTTATGTTTGGGTCAATTTGCAATTAGCCACGGGAGTTTCTCTTGGCAGTAAATGCCAACTGCACGCGGTGTTCCTTTTCCAGTTTATTTTTGCAGTTTGGTAAAATAAAGACATTCTCATATTCGTCTCACATTACATCTGATAAATGTAAGATCTGTAGAATGCTGTAGGACTCTCCTTGCCCCAAATGACATCTCAGTTCTTACCTGAGACTATTTTTTCTGAATCTCTACGATTAAGTGATGACTAAAATGTTATCGTGAATATTATAAAACATGAGAATAAGCCCCATGCTGAATTCCCTTTAACAGATGTGGAAAACAGGAAGAAGCACATCTTACTGGCTTTATGGAGGATTTCAGTTGCCTGCTGTTGAACTCGTTCCCTGCTGCCCTCTAGTTCATACTCTGTGTCCTTCAGCTGCATCACCCAGATCTCTCCATCCTGGATGGCTTCTTCCAGCTGCTTGTGTAGATTCTGCAGCACACGCAGAAACACACAGATGTACAATTACACCACAGCAATCCAACATTTGGTATTTTAAAACCCAGCCGTATTTCTCCCACCACAGCCTAGAGTCACATAAACCTATCCAGCTATTCACACTATATATATTTGCCTGCAGGACCATCAGTGCACACCACATTAAGTTTCTAACCACTCTGAGATTCTCGAATACATTGTTTGCCCTGAGGCTTTTACTTTTTTCTCTGTTTTCTGCAACAGTTTTTCATCCAATTTAGCCCACTTTCCTACCCAAATGTACCCAAAAGAAGACTATCGTACTGCGTGTGCTTTGTTGGGAATGCTGCAAATACAAGAAGAAATGGGTAGTTCGAATAAGCAGCAGCACCATGGCTTAGCACTGTTTTCATGTGGTTACAAAAAATCACTGTTGTATACATGTTTGGTGAATCAGATGTTGAATGTTCTTATTTTGGTCTTTTTCATTTTAATTCAAATTTAACAGTGTGAATATTTGTCCTAAAAAGAAGTGCATGATGTTCAGCCACTTATTCATCTAGCAATACACACACACACACACACACACACACACACACACACACACACCTTGATAGTTCCCTCTGCATTGGCCAGTGATGTCTGCAGTCTGTTGGTCTTGTCTCGGTTCTCTCTGGCCTCCTCCTGTGCTTTCTGAACCTCACTCCTCAGCTTGGACAGCGAGCGCTGAAGCGCTGCTTCCTGAGCCTGGAATTCCTTACGAAGCTCAACCTGCACATGGGCAGAGGATCACATTCAGTCATGAAGACATTATATATGGCTGCAAAAACACTAGGCAGCTCTGATAAACCCACTGGATGCTATAGTAGTTCTCTCAGGGGTTGGTGCAGACTGAAACAGAGCTAAAAGGAGAGTGAACATTGTACAAACATGACTCCAAATGAATGCTAATGTTGATAAAAGGCAGCTTTCTTGTTTTTTGTTTCTATGTTGTTGTTTTACCTCAGTCCTTTTCCAGGCCAGCAGGTTCTCAGTGGTGAGCTGGTGTGTTCTCCTCATGGCCTCCAGCTCCCTCTCATAATACTCCTGAGCCTTGCCCAGCTTGGCCTCGTATTCTTCCACCAGACGGACCTTATCCTTCGTCAGCTCCTCCACCCTCTCCATTAATGCATCCACCTACACAGGAAGACGCATAAATGAAGAGCGAGTCTTTTTTCCGATTTGAATGTTTTTGATAGTGACTCAAAACTGCCAAAATACATTAAGAGATCTTTGGAATACCAACTGCAAACATATAGTTATTTATTGTTTTTTAAAAGATTAGTCTTTGGTAAATATGCTATATTAGATAGTTAACAGTTGAGAAGAAAAGAAAAATGGGATTAAAAGAAGGGGATGACATGCAACAAAGGTCCATTGCCAGATTATTACCACTGCAGGTTTATGTACTCATAAGCCAACTACACCAACAACAACCCTATTTTGTTTTTTGATTTTCATGCTATTATAAATCTCCAAAACAGCAATTACCCCAACAAGTAACTTGCTGAATAAACTCTCCACAAAGCCAAAGATAACATGCTTCAATCCAAAAATGCCTTCCAAAACACATCTATCTTCCTTCCTCTCTCTCACTCTTGGCCCACCTCTTGTCTATGGAGCTCGGCCAGTTTCTCCTGGTCTTCGGTGGAGGTGGCGCTCTGGTTCTGCTGGTTGTTGAGGAGTTCCTCCACCTCCTGGCGGTGGGCGGCCCTCAGCTCCTCCAGCGCTCGCCGTTTATCCGCCTCAAACTGGGCCTGAGCCTGGCTGAACGCCCGCAGCTTCTCCTCAAAATCCCGACGCATCTCCTCCACCTATTGAAACCACGAAACATATCCTATTCCGTTTGATCGTTTGTGTGTTGCTGCCAATCCTGTCTCTACCTGTGCCAAGCTAAACGCTCACAGCGTCTCTTGAAAATCCCTCTGGAATAAATGAAAAAGTGCATAATATTTAGTTCTATTATGCTTTCAGCTTACTTTATTATTGTTATTTCTCTCAGTGCCAAAACGAATGCTTACAGCTACTCTACACCTCAGAGTGTTGAAACGGCTGCAACAAAGAAACGTGTCCGTGTTTGCTGTTATATCAAAAGATCTGACAGACGTGAGGTCGAAAAAATACACAAAAATGTAACATGAGATGTGATGGCATGTGATGCCAGCAGACTCGTTCAGGTTGGTAAAGAAGCATCTCTTTGGTCAAGCTGAAGGTGGACAGTGTGAAGGCAGTGGCAGAGAGGAAGACGAGAGACCAGACCAACGCTAACTTACACCAATCCCAATATAGATGAACTGATGATGAACTGAGCTCATTCAGCCACCAGCTCATCACTAAATCTAAAAACACTCCTGGTGTTCATTTATGCCCACTGCCATCAGACTCTACAAAGCCGGTGTGTATGACATTATGTCATATGGCGACATGACACATGACATGATATAATATGATGCATGCAATCATGTTTGATTGATATTTAGTTATGCTACATCTTTTTACATTCTACATGGTTTTATCGTAACTTTATATACATTTCTGCACTTAACACTTTCTTTAACAATTCACGTGACATTGTGCCACGCAGCGTTTCATTTTAGCGTGTACCTGCAATCTTGGAAGCAAGGATCATACACTGAACAAAATTATAAACACAACATTTTTGTTTTTGCCCCCATTCATCATGAGCTGAACTCAAAGATCTACGACTTTCTCTATGAATACAAATGCGCAGTTCCATCACACAGCTAATTGCGACAGATGTCGCAAGTTTTGAGGGAGCGTGCAATTGGCATGTTGACTGCAGGAAATGTCCATCAGAGAGGTTGCCAGTGAATTGAATGTTCATTTCTCTACCATAAGCCGTCTCCAAAGGCGTTTCAGAGAATTTGGCAGTACATCCAACCGGCCTCACAACTGCAGACCACGTGTAACCACAACAGCCCAGGACCTGCACATCTAGCATATTCACCTCCAAGATCGTCTGAGACCAGCCACCTGGACAGCTGCTGCAGCAATCAGTTTGCATAACCGAAGAATTTCTGCACAAACTGTCAGGAAAGGTCTCAGGGAAGCTCATCTGCATGCTCGTCGTCCTCATCGGGGTCTCGACCTGACTGCAACTTCGCACAGCCGTTGAAGAGGAGTGGACCAACATTCCACAGGCCACAATCAACAACCTGATCAACTCTATGCGAAGGAGACCCCCCCCCAATACAGTTTTTCGAGTGGCCTTTTATTTATGGGGAGCCTAAGGCACACCTGTGCAATACCCACGCTATCCGATTAATATCTTGATATGCCACATATGGATGATGTCGGCAAAGGAGAAGTGCTCACCAACACAGATTTTGACAGATTTATGAACAATATTTGAGAGAAATAGGCCTATTGTGTGCATACAGAAAGATCTTTGAGTTCAGCTCATGATGAATGGGGGCAAAAACAAAAGTGTTGCGTTTATAATTTTGTTCAATATATAAAAGAGGAGTCCAGCATCACCGAGATCCAAACTGGCTGATGGTGTGCCACTCCTGTTCCAGTGGCATTTACAGATTCACTGTTGGTTTTGGTAAACCCTGCTGTTCCACTGGCTCATGGCACTTGGTACAATAAATTGGAGTAGTCGTGTAGACCTCCATAAAAAATTGGTGTGATAAGTGCTAATCTAATCTAATCTCATTTCCTTTTGTATTGTACACATTATGATGATCTAAGAGAATCTTTGTTTCTGGAAGTTACACGACAAATCCCTGAAATATTTTGGTATGCTGATAATCAAAAATTAGTATGCTTGTTTAACTATGATGTATTTAAGTTTGCAAACTTTGTATCAAAGGCTTGGAAAAGAAGGCAAGCTAGTTTGTTTAACTAGATTTAATTTTGTCCTGTGTAGGATTATGGGCTTAGATGGGTGGTTATTTGAGTAAAGGCGAATACATCTGTTTATGAATATATACTTTTAGTACTATTACTATTATTATTCCGTTTCTAACTCTTGTCTCTATTTGGTTAGCAATGTATATGATGTACTCTGGACCTGGCTATCTTGTATATTAATTTTTTTTATTTCTGTATATTAATGTTGGTGTCTTGTAAGCCCATGTGGGCTGGGCGTATTCATATGCATGACACAATAATAAAGCTTCATTCATTCATTCTAAAATTCTGGAATCACAGCTCCCTTTTATTTTTAATCATTGTAGACAAATACCCATGGGAAGCAAAGGAGGGGTATATTTAGAATCTATCAAATTCATGTGTGTAAAGATATCCTTCAGATATCCTTATAAAAAAAATATTTATATAATTCAAAGATATTTTTATATTATCTGCCAAGAATATCTTTAAACATTTGACAGTGATTTGATGATTATGATGTCACTGGTCATTTTGCTAAATATATCCCTCATTTCCTTCCTTCCTTCCTTGGGTATTTATTTATTTATTAAGACCTGTAGTTGGTCGAAATGTTGCTCAAAAAATTAAGTGACTCATTTTCCACTGGCAGATACCCCTTCTCACAGGCATATACAGATTCTTACTGACATATGCCACTGCTTATTATGATATGCTGCTGCTGAGTACACCCAAAATGTCTCTGGTGCAACTTACAAATGGCTTGTCAGTCATGCTTCACTGACATGAATGCCACTGGTATTCACAAAGCTCTTCATAGATGTAGCCACTTCATTTTCCACTCAAAGTGCAACAGATTAATGCATTTACCTTTAAAATGTACATGTTTTTCTTTTTCTACCACTTTTTTCCAGTTACCTTGTAAAAATAATGTTATACTGGAAAATAACCACTCACTATAGGCAGCCTACACTGATGAAGTTAGCAGGGCTGAACACAGCTACATATTCAACCCTGTACTAGTATAGCGCGTTGAGCAAAGTTTGACCATTAACACTAGCTATATGCTAATGAACATTATGTCAAAATATTTATTTATTGTTACAAAAGTAGTATATACATCATGTGTTAGGCATACCGTACCACAGCGACATCACATACCAGTTAAGAATCATCCTAAAGCCAGTGGAAACAAGTGGCATGCCAAGAGTTGCATACTAGTACTGATAAACGCGATGCAGCCCAACTGAGTAGACAATATTTTATGGGGCAAAATATTTTAATAAATGCTTTGTCAGGTTTAAACAGGGTCAGGGAATAACAATTTATCTCCACCCTTCCAGTACAACAAGAGCATAATCTTTTAACAAGCTGTCTGATTAAATTTATTTGTGTGTGTGTGTGTGTGTGTGTGTGTAAAGCTTTACCTCTCTGCTCATAGAAACCACTCTCTGTGTGTGTTGGGCCTCGGTGCAGAGCTGGGAATCCTCCATTCTCTGTCTGTACATCTCAAACTCTGCTAAAGCCTGAAACAAAACATTATTATTTTAGCATGATTTTATATTACATTATAGCAACTGTAATACATTACACAAAAGTATTGTCATGCATCCATGGCTATATTACATCACATGATTGTACATCACACAGCTCAATTCAGATTAAACTAACACAACCAAACTACATGAAGCCCTGGTGGCACCCAGCAGCAGTGAATGACCTGTCTCTTCATGTGTTCATGGAGTTCGACAGATTCTTCCAGACTGGCCAGCCGCCGCCTCAGGTCGGCCTCGTCCGCCATCTTACTCTTGTACTGCATGATCTTGTCTCTGGTTTCTGTCACAATGTGTTGGACCTGAGCAGGAGAGAAATTATAAAAACAGTCAACAGCCTAAAAGCTGCAGATGTACTTTTAACACTCGACTCACAGTTTGGTCTCATAAATGACCTTTGAGTTGACATGTAGAGCCAGTTTGGCAATTATATGTGACATCAAAACTGTTCCAAAACCCACGTACAGAGTAGGTGAAAATAAGAGCCAAAGTGAGAAATGTAGAAATAAATAAAACTAGGAGCCAGCACAACACTGCTGCCTCCAAGAAATGGTTCTTGGCAGGGGGAGAAAAGTCCCACACTTGAAAGAAACACAAATTAAATTAACACTAAAGCTTCTCTCTGAAAGCAATGCGGAGGAAATTAACAACATTTAAACCAGTTTCATATCAGCTTAGGTCTTGTCCTTAAATGAACTTTGGAGATCAGGGTTTATAATGTAGAGCCAGACTGAACCAGTCAAGAAGATATACTGTATAATAAATGAAAAAGCATTAGAATACACAAACTGCTCTGTTTTGAAATTGTTCCTGAAAGAATTCTTGATATAGAGTATTGTGTGTTGTCGGCTTGTAGCAATCAAGGACCATTACAGAGATGATGTTAGTGACTGATAATTTGGTTATGAAGTGGACAGGCAGGAAGAGCTTCTCTCAAGCGGAAACTTATAATCCTGTAAGGGAAGTAAAAAGTCACATGTGCAAATACACAGCAGCTCTAATATGTTGCTGCAAATGTAAAGGAATAGTTTGACCTTTCGATAAAAAGGCGCTTCTCTTTGTGCAGAAAGTTGGAATAGACCATCGATACCACTCTCCTGTCTGTCTGTTAAGTATGAAGCTACAGCCGGGTGTTGGTATGAAAATGATGTGAATCCTTTGCTGTCACCTTCACAGTCACCAGATCTAAACCCAACAATTTGAAGTGATGTGTTAAACAGAGCCCTCCGCCACCACCATCAAAACACAAAATGAGGAAATATCTTTTGGATAAATGGTGTTCATCTCTCCAGAAAAAGGATCCAAAAACCAAAAGAGAATCTATGCCAAGGAGCACTGGATCTGTTCTCAAGGCTTGTTTTGAAAAAAACATCTTACTAACACAGTTCATGTTGGTTTTTCATTTCTATTGACAGCCATCTGCACCCACTGCTTTCAAGTACAGTAGCTCTAAAGTGAATAAATCAGCTGAAAGAGCAGTGCTTCACACCTGTAAACCATTGTAGAAAACAGATGCTGGTAAGACATCACTTAATCTTTACTCGACCTTAATGGCTTTACTGCCTTAATTTAGTGACACTGTGTTTTTTCTGTGCAATTAAGATAAGCAATCTGTCATGAAAGTGAAACTGTCAAGCAGCATGAATAAACTTTTTGTGGGATTCTGAGAGATCGATGTGAGAGTGCCTTGCCCCTAAATATGACAAAAACATTGCTGCACCCTTCACAGAGTGGCATTGACCTGCTCCCTGCAGACGGGCGGCAGACAGCTAAAATGCGGTCAGCCTTGACACCAAAATTGCAGACTGACACATGATTGCTGCTCCTCTCCTCCCACTGCAGCGCTCCGCCAGTCACTAAAATACTGAAGAGGAGAGGAAAACACCTCACTCAGGAGAACAACACTTTCTCCACTGAAGCTAATAAAATAGATAATAAGTGACCTTATCCACATGCGACTGTGCCCTATATAATCATGTGTTTGGTGCTCTGTTGTCTCCATACCTCGTCCTCGTGGGCGTCCTTCAGAGACTCAATTTCTTCCTCATGTTCGTCGTTCTTGGTGTTGAGAGCATAAATTACCTGGAGACAGGAAGAGAAACAGACAACAGAATGAGGAAGGGATAGAAAGTGTTTATTAACTACTTCAATATCAAATCAACAGTGAAGATTAAAGCTCAGCTCTGCATGCAGAGTGCAACACAAGCAACATCAACAGCAGGAAAGGAGAGAAATGGGTTTTGTGCTTTGATTAAAAACAGTATTACTCACGGACAGAGTTGTGTATTTACAGCAGTTGATGTGCAGTTTGTGTCCAAAACTATTTGTTGAAAAATTTTCTTTACTCATGTATGTTTCATAAAGAAAGCCAAGACAGGCTATGCTTTTTGTAAACAGCCTGACTCAGGTGAACCTAATCTAACCTAACCATCACGCACAACAAAGAAGATAAGGACTGAAAGATGAAGGTCTGATGAAGGTCTAAGCTTTCAGCAACAAAGACCTTTATCTAAGCACAGCTCTGCCAAAAGCTTAGATAATAAATTTGGTGCAAAGACAAGTGTGCAGATGTTTTGATCTTCTCACTAAACACAAAAATTGGCTAAAATCCTCCAATAACTTCACCCAAAAGTCCTGTCCACAAACAAGCCTAAGTGAAAATACCTTGTCAGCCATGCTTGCGCTCTCTCCCAGAAATATAAGCAAGTTTTATTTGTGCTGGAGGTAAATTATATGCAGGAGCTTTCAAAAAAACTCCAGCTTCAGCAAATTGAAGCCCCAAGTGAGCAGCTAATATTCACGGTCAGCTGAATAACAGCCGCTGGCATCAGAACTAGAAGCTGCACATTTTGTTTCACTTACAGGTGAGGTGACAAGTTTATATACAAACATCAGTATGTCATGGTAATTATCCTCCATAACACAAAATGACACAGTCATGTAATTACACCCTTTTGACATTTAAACACTACTTGGATCAACATCCAAGTCATAATCACAGCATGGCTTTTTAAAATTTAACTGAAAGCTCCATTGTACCTGGCTTGTCACAGCTGTAATACATCTGCACCTCCTGATTCGATCCTGATAAGCAATAAAATTTCTTATCAATATTGGGAAAATTATTTCAACTGCATTTCCCAGCTCCAGTATGATATATCACTCCCATTTTAGAAATCAGTTTAGTTCAGTACAACCAGTAGCTGAAGCTGTGATAGGCCTGAGGTGGAACGCATGAAGGGAGAGCAATCCCGCTTTAAGAACTAAAAGTCTCAGTATGCTTCATACAAGCTAGTTCGTCCAACCACATATAGAGACCAAGCGGGAAGCTTCCTGTCTGCAATATGAAGCGAATGCGGAAGTCCCTGGAACCTGCATTCTATTGAAAATCCAGCAGGGGGCGACTCTTCTGGTTGCAAATAGAAGTCCGGCTCAATTAGAAATAATGGGAAAATGACCCTAATTCTCAGCTGAATAATTACCCCAGTAAACACTTTCCTGATGAGTTTATGGTCTCAGTCTTCTTCAATACAAAATGATGTTCATTTAGTAAATTATGGTCCCATTTATTTTAAAATAGACCACAAAGCAGAGTATGTTTCAGGGAGGGATTATATATGATTGACAAGTCGTTACCATGGCAACCTGTCAATCAGGCTAGAGCCGACTCGTACCCACGCCACTGTGTAAATTTAACCAGCGCCGCTGAAAAAGCTTATTGGGAGTTGGCTGTTTACTTTCTCTGGTGAGTACATTTAGTTTTAAGGCTGTAGTTCGCTCGACAAAGTTATCAGCCCTCTTAAATGACAGTTAACGTGAGTTACAGTTGCACCTAGCTAAGAACGCTAGCTAGCTCCGCACACGGCCGTTAGCTCCGCCATATCGTCACTTCCGGGTACTTCCTGGTTGCAAAAACTCTACATGGCGGCGCCTTATCGGCCACACTCGATGCTTCAAAACGGCAGTCCACAAACCAACAGGTGACATCACGATGACTACGTCCATTTCTTATATACAGTCTATGCTAGAGACAAAAGTGTTTATTGTTGTTCTGAATGGCTGCATTTGGAGGCAGGGCGAAAAACCTGCTCTCATAGAAAGTCGTCATGACTTACATGACTCCATACAATTATGGATAAAGATGCACACTTTTGGTCTCCTTAAAGACACTCATGGTGGTGCACTCAGTTGTTCACGCACTAAGTGACAGAAGCAGTTATTTGAACAACAAAAAACAGAGAGTTTAGGAGAGAAGAGTGATTGTCAGATCTATCTGTTTCTGAAGGTTAAAAATAATTTTCACAGCCACCCCAATTCTGCTTTTAAATTACATGCTCTTTGTTTGAAGCATACTGAGGCCTTAAAGCTATTATTATGATCATAAATGAGAGCTAGTGACTGAAATAATGACAAGGCATCTTTACAGCTAACTGATGACTATGACACTAAAGACAGTTGGGCTGTGGCACATAATCTTAAGCCAGAGTTTAGTTTATCTTGATTTAAGAACCTGATTAGTAGAACCAATAATTTATCCTGCTAACAATCAACTATTGGTTGGATTGCCATAAAATGTGTGTGTACAGAAGTATTGGCTCCCCAGAGGATGAATCCTAATGACGTCGGTGATCCCCTGACTTTCTCTCTGTGCCACCATGAGGTTGACATCTGTGATTTTAAGAGAAAAGCCTCAACAACTACTGGATGGACTGCGTTGTTTGACAAGCTGAGAGGAAAAAATTAATTGTCATGATGATGGCAATGAAGGAATATCCCACTCAGTCTGGGAGTCAATGATGATAGATCTCAGCAGCCTTTTCCTTTAACCTGTGATTCCTTTAATTTGAAGATGAAAGTGTAACAACATAATTGATTTTTGCTTGTGTTTGTGGTGATTTGCCTCTTGACAATCACTCACAGGATGTTTTTATTTACCAGAACATCGCTAGTGTTACCTCAACAGTTTGTTAGTCATACTGCTGGCAGTGAAATAAGTCAGAGTATGGTAGGTGTTAGCCTCCTGTTCTGCTTGAGTCTGAGCCTTTGATTCCCAGCAGTAAGTCAGCCATGGAAATGTTCCTTCAATTATACATGATCATTTTAACAACGCTGGTGTGCCTGCTGCTTTCATCTCTCTCTCCTCTCCCTTTTTTCTTTTATCTCTCCCCCTTTTTGTTCTTTATCTTCTCTAGTCTGTATCTCCATCTCCCAGGAATAAGGATACCTCACATTACTATTTGGGTCTCCAGTTGAACACCAAAGCTTGCTTCCCGTAACTAATCACAAAGCAATTATTGTCTGTGTCTTAAAAATCTGCTGTTGTAAAGAAATTCAGTGATGAAAACATATTTGTTGATAAAATAATGTTATAGACTTACTGTTTTGAAATTTCTCTAAAATATCTGTATATCACGACACTAAAAGATATGTGTTGTTTCTAACATGCGTAGTATGAGTATGAGTAGTGCTGATGCAATTAGTTGATTAATCAATAATAAAAAGTAATATTTTTTATTATCAATTAATTGTCTAAGACATTTATCAAGGAAACATGTCAAACATTCTTAGGTTCAAGCGTCTTAATTGTTCTGCTTTTGTAAATATATGTATTGTGTATATGTGTTTTGAACTGTTGATCGGACAATTTCAAAACATCACTTTTGGTTCTGGGGAGCTGATTTTCTCTATTTATGATATTTGTGAATGAAAGATTAATTGATTTCTCAAAAACAATTAAAAGATTAATCAACAATACAACAGATATTTGTCCCTAGTCCTAGCTATATCTTTATTCAGTGCATTATAATGTCATGTCTCAGGTGGAGACTGGTTGAATGTGGGACAGAAAGACCCCAAAAAGAGGAAGACAGAGAAAGGTCAATCTGTGACGATTCTATCAAGATCGTGATCTAAGGTGTCTTCAATCTACTCTTCAGCGGACTCGTATAGAACACAGTATTTAATGTCATTTTACTTCTGTTTCCAAACTTCACATAACCTCCATGACTAGCTGATCAACGCTAAGTGACTAACTATTGAGTAAACAATACAATTGAGATGAAAATCTTTTAGCTTCTCTTTACAACTTAAACTTCAACTTTAGTCACCATTTTGAAACCTGTGTAGCATCTTTAATGCAATTAAGATCTTCTCATTAGTGTTGCCTACATCTGATATGACAGATGTGAAACTACTGATTAGGCCTATATTGTATATTTATTATACAATCGTTTAACCTGAAGCACAGCTGACTCTGATTTTAATCCTAGCATTTGATGGGAAGTTTTAATGTCCTGTGATTTAAAAACCCTGTCAGCGGCTTTTCCACTCGGACAACAATGACAATCAGGAAGAATTCCTTTGAACATACAATAATTAGAATTTTCTTGACATTAAAATGCCAACTTTAAAACACAAATCAATAACTTAATGCACATTGTTGATGAAAGGTTAACAGCAAGGACTGTGACACTACTGAGCTAATTTCATTGCTGTAAAATGTGGAGGTGGATATTTATTGGCATCTGTCATCCAGATATATGCAGCCTGACAAGCCATGAAAAGGTCACTAACATTCTCATCAGCAGACAACTAAAAGCATCCAGCCATCATAAATGTGGCAGTTCTTTAACTATACTCCACCACATAGGTGAATACACTTTCAATATAGGTGACATATAGATGTCTTCAACCATTTACTGTATCTTCATCTGTATGTAGCCGTTTTGATGCTGTAGTACAACAGCATCTGTATGTCTGTTTGCATGTAATTTTCCTCCCGTCTTTATCATCCAACAGAGCACCGCCCCGCCAGCAAGCAAACACATGAAAGTGAAGCAGAGCGTGCATGTGTCTCGATATGACAGCTTTTATAATAAAAGATAACGAAGAGAGTGACAGCAAAAAGCATCTCCCTCTCTTTTCTGCTGATGGTTTCACAGGAACGTTTTCAGGCCCGAGGCTCCAATCAAACCAAGCCAGGAGACAACACAACAGCCGACAGCTACTCAATCAATGTTGGAAACCCAGCTGACACCGACACGACAGTCATCACTTCTTCTCACCATGAGTCTTCAAGGTGTACCGCAGTTTTTTTTGCTCTATTGGCATCTCGATTGGAATGAGGAGGGTGAAAACTACAATATGCTACCTTAAAAAGCATATGGTTTCCCCGAGCTTCTTCTTTTCACATGACCTGTAGGAGAGCAGACAGAAACTGACAGGCAACCTCTTGTGTGTGCAAAACTACCGTAAAACCTCTTTAAAGGATTTCACGGTGGACAGTTTAGTGCACAAAGTACTTCAATACCAGATCCCATACAATGCTGGTCTGTCAATCCACTACTTCAGTCCAGACTAATATAGCTTTTAGATGGATTGCCATTAAATTTTGTACAGATACTCATGTTTCCCAGAAGATGAATCCTAACCACTTTGGTGATCTCCTTACTTTTACTCTAGCACTAGCAAAAAGTTTAATTGTTTTATAGGTAATTTTGGAAAACACTGACACCCATAATACCCCCCAGCCCATCCCTGCAGTGATCAAAGTGGTTCACACTTCTGGGAAACCAAAAACTGCTTGTTGGCGTTTTTCGTGTTGTTTGTCCTACTATGCAAAGTTATAAAGTGATGGGGTTTTTCAAGCTTTTTTATGCTTTTCAGATGGACAATGATGATGCCAAGCAGAATAGATGCAGGGCTTCCATGCAGCTATACAACCGTACTTATTAAAAAATCATTATCTAATGGGTAGAGGGATCAATAATAATATCAAAGATGTGTTATCATGCAACCCTGGTCACCAGAATGAGATAAATTCTTTACAATCATGACAATTCTCTTGCGTTGAACATAAAAAAAAAAAAGATAATACAGATAAAGATTAAGGTAATCTCATTAAAAACGTATCATCAGAGTCAATTCATCTTGTGTTCTTCCCAACCAGTAGGCTAGTGTATTGATCAAGCAAATCAAACTGCACTCTATCTACCATTACATGGGTGGACTAATGACTGACCAATAGAAAATGTCCATCAAAAGGCCAATTACCAACTGGATTTGCAGTTATTTAGAGTCATTTTATCATCACGTCAAATATAGATCTGCTCTGTGAAGAAAGAATGCGTAATGATGGTGAAAAATTACAATAGGGCACCCAGGAGGGACGTTTCTGAGGCTAAAGGACATTTTGTACAGTCGATCACTATTGATGAACTACAGAATAAAGGAGGTTGTGAATGTCTGGAGTAGAACAACTGCAGCTTTTGGCTCCAACAAAACCTTGCGCTCTGTTCTCATCATTTTCAGAGGATTACCATCATATTCACTAATTAAAGGATGAATTGAAATCTTATTCTCGGCGGTGCTGTAGTCTTAACGGGATCCCTGGACATTGGAGCTTTTAGTCTGCTGTTTTCTTTTACCAGAGAAGCCATGAAGTGGCAACACAGTCTCTGTTACCAATTAGCCTAGCTGAAGAAAACAGTGTGTTTAGTTTGTCCTCGCAGTCATGGTGTGAAAAGCACTTTGCATCTGTTCATTCTTTCTTTTTGTGCTGCTCCGGCGCTCCAAGGACACTCAGCACACACCTTCCTCCCTGAGCATCCCAACCTCAGACACAAACACAGCAGGCGAGAACAAGGGCACATACTGAGTCTCTCTGATAGAGAAAATACAAATAATGTTGTCTGTGATGCTCAGAAAAGAGTATCACATCAGCCAATGGAGATGGCAGAGGATATGAGCCAAACACACAGCTGTTGTGATTTTTGTACCACAAATGTTAGTGTGTCCCTGAATGTATGCAAGTTTATCATCAATTAAGTTCATTTAAATTTCAAATATGTGGTCAACGTTACAAAATGAACACCTTATAAATCACATGGAACGTGTTTGGATACGTGAGGTCCCGCTAGTTTATCAAGAGCTGTCAACGTCCACTGTCAAACAGCTGCACAGTGCAATTGAAGTGACAGGAATAAACTACAGAGAGCCTAAGTCCCTCCACTTCCAGTGGACCACCGCGGGACCTTATTTCGGAATAAATATGCACCGTAGTCCACGGCGAGAGAGAAGAATTTGTTGGTGGAACGTGGAAGGGCATCAACCCAGCAGCAGGACCAGTATCTGCTCCTTTGTGAGGGGAGGAACCGGAGCCAGAGCCCTACAAAATAACCTCCAGCGGGCTAATGATGTGCATGTTTGTGACCAAACACTCCTGGATGACAAAGGCAGTGATGCCATTGACTGGCCATCATGTTCCACAGACCTGAATCTAACTGAGAACCTCTTGGACGTTCTTTATTGAATCTTTTAGAATCGATAATTGTGGCTTCCAATCATCCATCCATACAATTTATACCCCCTGCTTATTCTGTTCAGGCTCATGAAATACATGAGCATACACCGGACAGCTTGTCAGGTCCATCACAGGACTGACACACACGAACAGACAAACGGCAGTCAATCTGGAGTTCACTTCACCTGCATTTCTTTGCTTCGAGGAACAGAAAAATCCTCTTAAACATGAGGAGAAGGTACTTACTCCACACAGAGAAGTCACAGTGAACCTACTGGATCAACAACACATTCTTGGGCTGCCTGTAAAGTGTTAAATCTGTTGTTTGTGGACATTAATTCCACCGCCATTGTCTTGCCAAGCTCTCCACCACTTCAGATAATCTTAATCAACCACTGACACAGCTGCATTGTAATCCTGCATATCCAAATTTTGTGTGTATTTGTACAGCTTTTCCTACTATACACAGTGTCTAATTCTGTACTGGGATAGTATCACCATGCCTGTTATATAAAATCTTCTGTCCTCTACTCCCTGCTTTTGTCTCCCCTTGTGCAGCATGATCGTAGAAACTGCTTTATTTACATTTTATCCACCCTTCCACTTAGACAAAAGCCAATGGAGGGTGTAAACGTAGCTGCCACCTTAAATTTTCTACTACAGAACGACATAGTATCCCTGTGTACACTGGATTCAGGTGGACTACAAAGAAGCAGCTCTGCCAAAACCCCTGCATCCCTCCAAGATTATATAACTTCCCTAAGCCCTTCAGTGGCAATGGCAGCCCTGTGGTGGCAGAAAAACATGCACAGGTTAAAACGGCGGTGTGGCAGAGGGTACATTTACAGCAGCAAAAAATTCCTCAAGGCATCTGGAGTGTTATCGCTCATGAAATACAACCTGAGTACAGTAAATACCAGCCTGCACAGAGTAGTGAGCACAGCATAATAGGTCAATACAAACTCTTTTTAGGTAAATCTAAACAGAAATCACTTGCTGAACACAACTGATAAATAACCAGCACTAACTACTAATGTAGCCTTTAATGGTAACCTATGAACCCTGCAGGGATGCAGAGCAGTGACATATCTCCAAAGCTGCTACAAAACAGCAACACAACACCAACATCAAACCTCCTGACCTGCACCAAATCCCATGTATAAAACACCATAAAATACCACCACATTCTTCTATATCAGCATGCTTACAAATACCACCCATCCCACACCATCACAGTCCACTACAGCACCACTACATCCACATCCCAGACCTGCTCTCAATGACTTCCTGCGACACTCATTCACACCAACACACCTTGGTGAGTTGTGCTATCTTCTTGCTCATCTTCAGATGCAGGTCTTGACTGTATTCCAGCGTCAAACTCCCGTCGTAAAACATGCTGGACGTTGGTGAGGGGGTATATTTGGTGCTGCTAGTCGAGATGTTGTACGGAGGCTGCCAGCCTGCCCCCGTCGCCATTTTCGCGGGGAATAAAGCCCCAAACACGTCGCTTTGAATTTAAATAAAATGGAGCTGGTGCACGTTAAATCCTCCCATTGTTGTGTTTGTGGTTAATCTTCCGTTTCGGTGATGGAGAGAAAGACGGGGGAACAGGCAGGGACAGCGGGGCGCGAGACCGTCCCGCCGTCGCACGCATCCGCAACGGGCGCGAGCGCTCGGAATGAGAGAGAGAGAGAGAGAGAGAGAGAGAGAGAGAGAGAGAGAGGCAGAGACGCGCACCAGATGCTCAGCCAATGGCGCTCCCGTTCAACGCGCGCTCCCGATCAATTGGTTTACGCTTTAATGCAGCTTTCTGTGACAGCGTTATGTGGCTGTTGAAGTGTTTCATTGAAGACAGATGACAGCGGAAATGTTGATGAACACCAGCACAGAGCCCGTTATGTTTTCACCGCGAGCTGCATGACGACACCTTCAGGGCTGTCAAAAATATGGAAGTTTGGAAACTGATAAATAGTTAATGTTGTGAGCTATTATGAAGAGAGTTAAGCCTTTTATTAATGCGAGCAGGCTGCTGTTTTATATATATTATTAGTATTTATAACAAATATTATTGTTGGGTAGGCTATTTTATTCCATTTTATTTTGTTTAATTTTTAACTGTCTGATGTTATTTGCCTCATTACCAGCCCTTAAACGTTGTCACTTTGTTTCTAAAACTACTCTATAAATAAGATTTATTATTATTATTATTATTATTAGTAGTAGTAGTAGTAGTAGTAGTAGTAGTAGTAGTATAAGAAATTATGGTTTTAACCGGAAGAAAGTTTAAATAGGCTATTTTGTTAAAGTATAGTTGCTTTGTGGTCATAGCTTTTTTTTATTATATGGCCCACCTATGTCTGTTCATAGAACACAGTTTTTATTTATGTATTTTGCATGTTTCTACTTTCTCTTAAACCCTGAAAGCTTTATAAATTAATAAACAGGGTTGTCAGGATGCTGCAAACATATACATGTGACAGGCTTGGTATGGACATCAGGTCAACCAAGAGGATTTTTCGGGTTGTTTTATTTAAGGTGAATGTAAATGAGAAAACAAATCAGAAAATATTAAACAAAATGCTGTGTAACAATAATCTTTTCCTCCCTATCTCATCCTTGCTGTAATGGATGTTCTGATTTATTAATAAACACTACACTGTTTCCCAGAGTCTGTAATCAGTTAATTGTTCTGTTTCCCCCCCTTTTTTTCAACCAAGCAATGCAATTGAAACTTACAGAAAAAAAAACATGCTGCAACAGAAGGAAAATGTAGCTCTTGTATTAACAGTGACACTTCTGGGGAAATGCTCCTGGTCTTCATTCAGACTTTTATGCATTACGTCACTCTAGAGATGCTGAAGCTGGAACTGATCCTGCACCGACATCTGCTGGTGACATAGATGAACTGCAAAAGAATTATTAAAGGATCAGTTCATCGAATCTACAAACAACATGTGGAATCAGTAAAGTGCAGATCTCAGCCAGGTGTGTCTGGGGCCATGTGGGTGGGGAACAGGACAGGCTGTGTATGCATGAGAGAAGGGGAAATAAGGGGAGAAAGTTTTATTTTATGGTGTAGTAAGTTTTCTTATATAGATGTATGCAAAGTTTTTTTGCATATTATAGTCTTTCTTTAAAATGCATATAGTAATGCAGTGGTATAGTAATCCAGCCTCCTGGGTTCGCCTAAACTTAATAAGAAACATAAAAAACATGAAAAATTCAAATTTTTATTTATATTGAATATTTTGTTGGAATACAGCACACGTAAAAAAAAAAAAAACCTCCCAACTTCCCCCTCCCCTCCCAAACAAACAATTGTCCCTTATAGTCAAGATGGCAGCGAAGATAACAAAAATGGACATTTATACCATCTAGTATCATGCCTGTCACACTGTGGGCGTGTCTGCTCTCCTCTGCTCTGTTTAGTTAGTTTCAGTCAGTTTTGTTATTTTTAGTCTTTTCTGTATCTGTCATTTAGTCTGTGTTTTGGGTTTCAGGCCTGTCACTTTTTAGTTCTGTTCTGTTGAGTTTAGTTCACTGTGAGTTTGGTATCTGTTATTTAGTCTGGGTTATTATTCACCTAGTTATTATCTGTCAGCTAGTGTTTACTGGTGTTTGGTGTTGTCCTTATTTCCGTTCAGATCCTTGTTGAGTGTTGTCCTGGTTCCTGGTTAGCTCTGTCTCTGTTCCCTACCCTGGTCTGTGTAACAGTTGGTCCATGTTTTCTGTTTTGGAGTTTTGTTCCTTGTCTTGTGTTCTCTGTTTAGCCTTGTGTATTTCATTGTTCATTCGCAGGTTCTGTTAAGCTCACTTTGTACCTGTCTGTCATGTATCTTAGATTTAGCTCTGCATTTTGGTTCGGTGTTTAGTGTCCAGTAACCTAGGTTATGTCTGTTCTCCCAGTTATCACTCTGCTTGCCTGCCTCTCTGTTTTCCCCTGCTGTCTCTCTGTCTCATTAGCCCTGATCCCGGTCACCTGTGTTGCTCCTGCCCTGCTTGTTAGTCCCTGTGTAGATATATTTGGTGTTTCTGTTCATTCCCTGTCCGGTCATTGTAGCTTGTTTATTGCTCTGTCTCATGTCGTGTAGTTTTGCTCTGTTCTGTGTTCTGCCCTGCCTGTCCTGGATCTGTACTCTGTTTGGATTTCTGTTGGATTACCTTGTTTAATTTGGACTCGTTTATTTTTGGTTTACCTGGAATAAGCCACTCTGTAGTAAGTGCGCTTGCCTTTTGTTTAATTAAATCTTTGAACTTCATCTGCTGAATCTGTGTCCTGCATTTGGGTCCACCAACCTTTGCAACCACATATTCATGACAGTGCCTAGCTTTAGTGGATCATAAAATATAGGTAATTAGTTTTTTTTTTTTAATTTGTGATATTAGGGTGGGTCCAGTAGTATGCGAGATTAGATGCTGACCGATACAGCCGCACACACATGCATGACCCGAAAATTAAGTAAAGGTTTGGTGCATATATAAAAAAAAAAAAAAGTGAAAATAAAAACTCAGCTTTGGACAAAACCTATAACTTCTGGGCTTTCATGGGTACTCTTCTAATAAACCCTGTGGCAAGACTGTTGTGTCAACTGCTGTTTCCAAGGCTTTTGGGGTATTTATTTTAACCTTTTCTGCAAGTGTGTGCATCATCAGGCTCACTTATCAATTAAAAAAGCAAAATCATGTGATCACAAGGTCCACTTACAAAAAAATCATACTGCCTATGGAAAACATTTTATCACTTACTTCTGGTGGTGCCCAGGCATGTACATATAGTTTTTGGTTTATGAAACTTGTTTTGATAGCCTATATAAGTCTCTGAGATTCCCTTTGTTTGTGGTGCATATAGCATAGAAAAACTGCATTTGAAAAATTCCACCATGTATTTGGAACAATGTCCCCGATAATGTTGATAATCCACAAACTTCAGTTTTCTTCAAAAGTATTTTAATACAAAGATGTAGTCCCTATGAAAATTTTCAGCGCTCTTAGATAGCTATGTCAAAGCCTGGGCAAATTAAACCACTTAATGTAAACCAGATAGCACAGCTGTATGTAAGTGTATGGCTCTGAACAACTTCAATGTATACTCCATCAATGAATCAAGTGTGTACAGCCATGCTAACAGCTCTGAGAGGCTGCACAATGACCATGTTAACATGGTAAGCAGGTAAATTGTTCATGTTCACCATGTTTGTTTATTGTGTCAGCATGCCAATATTTGCGTATTAGCAATGAACACGGTATAGCTTGATGGTCATGCAATTAGTTTTGCAGGTATTTAGTCATAAACCACAGGACTGATCAAGCTCTTAACCAAGGTTATTAGGGTTCACCCTCTGTGGACCATGAATATCAAACTTAATTGCGAACTATCCAATATTTCAGCCTGGATCAAATTGTTAGACTGACTGACCAACATCACCATCCCTAAAGACACATCACTAATGTTGCAAAAACGAATCGTCTCTTGTCTAACTCTTAATTTTACAACTGATTTTATATTACTTTGAGCCAAATTTCGATCTAGACAGCCACTTCAAATTTTGATAATGTCTCTGCAAAGTAAGCTTTAAATGAAGCGAAATATTGTATTCAGTGCATACTTTTAGATTTGGTCACAGAATATAATGGGCCATCCATTTGCATCAAACACTTGTATAATAGTGGATGTGCATCCTGAATGGTTAAGACTAAAATCATGTGAGTATGTCATATTATTGACACCTCAGGGGAATATGTTTTCTTCAGTTTCTTCTGTCTGTCTTGGTCTATCAATGAATATTTTAGCAAAAGAGCAATGTAAGTAAAGCATACTTTTAAGTCAAGACTAAAAAGTTGATGAAGGCATCAGACTACTGAATGAATACATTTTTTGAAAGCTTTATAAACAATTTCCCAAGTTTCAATGTAGCAAAAACCTTGAAATGCATCTGTATTGTAGTATGTAGTTATATAGCTATCCTACAGTTTATTTAGATCTTGCTCAATACTGGACTAGCACTGACGGTGCCAAAAAATGAGTGTGTTCCTTGGAAATCCAGCAATAATACCAAATAATATTAATAATGTGAGGAGTGTTGTTTTGACTGGGGGTGTCTCTGCTGGAAGGAGCAAACATCTCATACACACCAAGACCCATTCCCCAATTCCTATGATGATTCCCCTCATGTTTCAGTCCTGAAAAACATACTGTATTATATTTTAGTGCAGCACTGTAATGTATTATGAAATACTTTATTTAGACCAGTAGCTAAATTCATATGTTTCTCTCAAGTTGGATGTAAAGTATTTTCAGGCATTGGCTGACAAATTATCTCCTCTTGTCCCTTTGGATGCCACAGTTGCAAATAAAAGAAAGGATCCAAGGCAGCACGATAGCATCAGCAGGCTCTTGTTTTTTTGTTTCCTTATATAAATCATGTTCATTCCACTTACTTCCCCTCCATATGTTCCCCAAGGCCATCCCCCTGCAGTGGCTCTGGTCTGACCATGAGGACCAAGTGACATTACTCACTATTGCCCCTAACAACACTATAAAAGTCGCTTCACTTGAGCTTCATAACCTGTAGAAGGCACTGTTGGCTTACTAATACTCCTCATTGTCTGTACCTCAGTGTTAGTGAATAGGACCGTGTGGTCATGGTTTGTCTTTTAACATCATGACCAAAGTGCATAAATCCTATTTTGTTAGAACTACCAGTCATTTGCCCCTGCACATGGTCCACTGCAACCCTTTTGCCACTCCTCCTTCATCCTCCTTGTATGGCCTCATTTGATTGACACCAATGGTTTAGCGAGGAGCTCACCACTGAACGTGTTTCACTGCCAGGTGTGGATGGCTTAACTTAGCTTAGTTTTATCTGCAGATTCTAGCCCTGGGCTTCCGGTCCTTTTCCTACAGTGAGCCTGCTTTTCTAGAAGCAGTGATCTCTCTCTGTTTTACAAGCTTGAATTAATTGTTGACTCAATTGCATTGATTTCTTTTACTAAATTCATATTTTTTTGACAGTGGTGGTTAATCTTAAACAAACCAGACGCCTGTAGCAAAAATCTCTAAATAACCTGGAATTATCTGTTGTGGAATAAATACGAAGCATCTTAAAAACAAATGTCCTGCAATCAAAATAATAAATTATAGCAGTATCTGCAGCTAAATGTACTTTAAGTATCAAGTGAAGAAGCACTCAACAGGCAGCAGAATAGCCCCTGTCAGACTGTTATGTCATATTTCTGGATTCTTATTACTGAGGCTTTACTGTGAATGCAGTATTTTAATATAACTTTTCATGGTAAAGATATGTTTTAGTACTTTACGTACTTTTGGGTAGTTTAATCCGTAACAAAGCATCATATTTTATAAGATGATCATGTTTGTCTTAATCTGCAAAGTATCAACTAACTACAGATGTAACATACATGTAGTGGAGGACAAAGTACTATGTTTCCCTTTAAAATGCAGTTAAGTAGACATATATTTACTTTCCACTGCTGGCAATCCTGAGGCCTCAGGATTTTCAGTGTGGAAACATATGTGCTCAATGTTTTTCTAACCAATTTTTGTGCTTGAATGACTCGTGACAGCTTGAAGAGACAGACATCAGCATATGTAAAATAAGCGTTTTCCTCCAATTCACAGTGAACTTACAAGTCCAAGTAGCTGCAGACAGCCTCAGCATGTGGTTTAAAATTGGCACCCTTTTCTCCAGTTTGTACTGTCAGTTTTGCATAAAAGCATTCTGCCAACTACTATAGTGTATGCATAATGTAAAATGTAAAATCTGAATTACATCGCTTACAAAATAGCACATGTAAATTTCACTTGTGAAAAAATCACATATACATAATAATAAATCCACAAAGAGAAATGTTTGAATCATTTGTCCATTCTTACTAAATTATTCAGATTGCAGCTCCAACTGTGAAGCAGATTGTGCTGGAGATTTTAAATTATAGGTAAGTAATACCCCGAATAAATACAATAGAACACTTTCATTTAACCTGCCTGAAACAGGCATTCACCAGGACATGAAAGGAGGAGAGTTGACTAGAGACTGAATTTCAAAGAGAGGTTGGTGTGCTGGCAGAGGAAAGAGAGAAAAAAGGAAAGAGCGAATGGACAGAGAAAGAGAGAAACAAGTGTTTGTGTAAGAGAGAAAGAGAGAGGGAAAAGGAGGAGGAGAGGATAACATTGCAGTAGGCTATACCCGTGCGTAAATGTGACCATCCTCGCTGTGGTTCCTCCATCCCTCCATCCATCCATCACCCTCTCCCCTCCAGCCGCTCTTCTCTCCTCCTCTTAGCCGTTGATCACCTGCACGGTGGTCAGTGGTCAGTTTTGGACCGTGGAGTCCCGCTTGTCTCGGCTCGGCGCCCTCCTCCAGGGGTTGGGAGGAGCGCCGGGGGGCACGTCCAGGTTCCTGCCGGGCTTCGTGTCCACCGCCGCCGAGAGCCATGGCTCGGAGCGGCGGGAGAGACGCGGCTCGACACGCTCTCGGATGCCGGTGATGCGGGGTCTGATCGCGCCACAAAACACCTTCTTGGATACTATCGCCACCCGTTTCGATGGGACCCGTGAGTACATTTCTCATCTGTGAAAAAGCACTAATCCCGTAATTATATGGTGCGCAATGGATGTTTCAAGCAGTTTATTTACTCTGAACTGTTCACTAATTCAGATTACTGAACAATATTTAAACTCTGAGAATACAAAGTCCTCCAAAGTGCTTAATGAGGATTGAGGACACTTGAAGACACAAAGAGACCATAAGCATGCTGATACTTTTATTAACGACTAATGTAATAATAACATTAAGAATACATGAAGCACCTACCTGAGCACCCATGTTTAAAGATGAACTAACCACATGGTTCTTATAGAGCCAGATGCAAAAATAAATAACATAGGCTACTTTTGTTATAGGCTATGCACAAGAAATGCAGATGGTGTGAAGTCAACCAAGACATTCATTGGATTTGATTTTGCATGGTTTAGATGACATACATCTTCCTTATTCAAAATGTGGGCACCACTTTTACAAAGCATGTGTGGTTTGCTGACTGTGTCTACACATTGAGCTGTAATGTACTGACTCACTGTTAATTAATGCTATGATTCAGTGTTTTAATTACCATTCAAAGGCAGTGGTTTGAGTTACCAACAAAAGGTTGCAAATCAATTCATTGTGAAATATATATGCCACAGCCTTTACTCTAGATTTCATACTTCCGTTGTCATGGCCAGCTAGGGTCAAAAATGAGCTGCCAGGTCCCTCTTAACCCCCCACGCCTCCCACTTTCTGTGTCGTGTGCACAGTTTTTTTGTGCTGGAATACAAACTTGATTTGCTATTAAATCAGGAATTTGCACAATATAAACACAAAACTTCCTGAAATTAGATTTTGAATCTGGCGCTACAGGAAGAAAACATTTCAAACCGTTACATCAGCTACTAAAGACAACACAGATCCATTCATAAAGTAAATGTGGCACCTGAACTACATTAAAAATCACACAGAGCAGGAGGTTCATTACATTATTTAATTACACTGTCACAGTTAAATAGATTTTTATCCAACCTATAATTATTATTCAGACATTTTCAAACAAAATGTATTGCAAAACACTACACATCAGTCTGTGCATTAAGCCCATATAAACCTATACAGAAATCACTGTCAATCAATATGCAAACTGCAGTTATAGCTTAACACTGTTACATAAGAGTCCTAAAGGTCCTGAAGGCGCAAAGTAACAGGCAAGAATGTGCAACAAACGGAGGTATGAAGACTACAGTGTACAAGGACTCAGAGCAGCATCTGTCTATTCTTTTAAGATGTAAATTACAGTAAATACAGAACATATATTTAATTTGTGTAAATTACTGCAGCATTCCTGCTACAAGGGGCTACATGTCATTATCAGTCATCTGATGATATTCAGTGACATCTGCAGGAATTTGATGTCTCTTGTTTGTCCCCTGAAGGCAAAGTTTCATTAGATAGCATTAATTGAATCAGAGATTTTTATTTTGTGTCAACAGCGATCAGATCTACTCTAATCTGACAGTGGAACTGATTGCACTTCCCTCTATCAGATCACTTTTGCAGCAGCTTCATTATACAGGCCGGCTGAAGGAGATCGTTAGACACACAGCTCTTTTGGTCGATCACGATTGTTCATTAGTCAAAGTATTAGCTTTTACTTGTTTGTCTACTTGGTATTACTCATAATCTGAACCAGTGAATGAATGAGACTTATGCTGGGAGATGAATGATGACATGTGATCACCAGCACTTCCTCTTGCTTGGAAAACGTGTGAGAAAATGAATTCTGGAATGATGCATGATGTTTAGGTCTTGCTACTAACCTCCAGCAGGCCTGTGGTTAAAACGCAGTAGGGGAATTTTAATGAGCTTCTCCAACCAAATAAAGGTATGACTGTACATGCTGCTGTCTATAGGGTGCTGCCAACAAAACAATCCTCTTTGTTTTTGAAGAGTTTCTGAGGCCTCCATGTGCCAAAACATGGACTAGGAAAGATTTGTGATGCCAAATTACATCATCCCTCTATGAATAAAACAGTGCAGCTTCAGAAATTCCAAGTCTGAAGCATCCAGGACGGCACTGTGACCAAACCTCTGTGAGCTCCAAAATGTTTTGCTGGTTTTTATTTGTCATTCTTTCTTGCACAGAATACAGGAAATGTCTGTTTTGACTGAAACCGGCATTAATGCAGCATGATAACCAGGGAGACCTCCGGGGCATTCTATCTAGTTTTTTCCTCCTCACATTGCAGTAAAAAGCTGTAGAGTCCAGAGATATCTCAATACACTATACATATTTACAAAGGTTGCATATTTCAATTAATCACTGGCATTGCTGGCCAGTCAGCATCAATGTGGTGCTCTGGTAATATCTCAATGATAATTTGAAGACATTTGATGACATTTGTACAGACAATCATGGCACTGAGAAGATGAATCCGTCTCCTCAGGTAAAATAAAATAAAATAAAATAAAAATGGAAAATAATTATGAGAAGTACTCATTATACATTTCAAGAGCCCACATGGATGTCTTCAAATTGCTCAGTTTGTCTAAAAACCCTAAAGGTATTTAATCATCAAGTGAAAAAGCCACTCATAGTCACATTGGATTCAGCAATTTCATTACTGAAAATTAGTTAAATCATTAATTAGTGATCAAAACAAACATTCAGTCAGTTGCAGCATTGGGGTATGCAAGCTCTTGTTAGAAGAGAACAAATTAATGCCTTTATCAAAATCTGTAAGTGTATTTGTGCATATTGATTACTGGAGGTCAGTCGTTTCGAATGGGCTTAGACTCATCTTCATGCTCTAGTAAGAAAAGAAAAGTCTTGAAAGTGAGTGAATCGGTGTTCATTTAAGGTTAAGGAAAGGGGCTGGTTTAACTAATAATCCTGCACTCAGGAATCAATCATCTTGCTGCCATGTTCATCTCTTTGTTTGTTTGCCAGCTCTCTCTTTCATTTCTTTGGCACGGACTCTTGCTTTCATTGTTTTTTCTCAACCAAAATTAACTGATATTATAAATGAAGGATAGACAGCTAGTATTGAATAAATACATTTATTATAAATATATTGCCATAATAATAGTAATGAATAATAAAATGGATTTGATTGCAGAGTGATATATCAAATGGAGAACATTAGGGCAATTGAGCTGTCCTGAGCTAAATTCTGACATTAACATGCTAACATGCTCATAATGAAAATGTTAACATGCAGATGTATAGAAGGTATAGTGTTTACCATGTTGACCATCTTATTTTAGCATGCTAACATTTGCTAATTAGCACTAAGCACAAAGTAAAGCTGAGGCTGATGGGACTGTGATTATTTTTGAGAGGATTTAGTCATAAACCAAAGTTTTGGACAGCGAATTCATCCTAAAAGGGACATAATTGTGTCTCCCATGCTCCCATACCAATTCTTGCTAGAGGAAAAGTCACATGATCACCAAAGTCTTTAGGATTTTAACTCATAAGGTACTGCATAGACATGCACCATCCCACCTAGCTGAGCTAATTACACAATATACAACCGACTTGCCGTCTTCGCTCTCTCAATGCTGGTCTCCCGGTCAAACCTCTGTGTAACAAAAAATCAGCTTGCTACAGTGCTTTTGCCTACTGTGCCCCCTATTTATGGAATGACCTTCCACAGTATGTTAGAGACTGAAAACCTACTTGTTCTCACGTCACCACAGCCTCCCCTAGAATTCGTGTTGGGTCAAGCACCTTTTAATAACCCTGAAATGTAGCTGTTTAATCTTTTTTATTTATTAATTCTTGACATATTTACAATGTCATTGTTTTATTTTGTCTATTTTATCTTTTTATCTATCACGCTTTCACGTTTTTACTCTTGTATTTGATCCTGTGAATTTTTTGGAAAGTGTATTGGGACCATGCTGCTTGTTTTTTTTTTGACATGATTTTACATGTTATTGTTGAGATGAAATTCAGATTCAGAATTTATTCCAACATTGTGACTGATTCAGTTGCAGTTCAGTCCCACATACTAATTACGAAGAAGGTGAGTGTTTTTGACCTTTACATTTTACACTAAGTAAAAAAAAAAAAGCAAGATGCGTAGTATGTGAAGTTTATCCGGCAGAACCATCATAACAATGAGTGTGCTTTGTTATGTGTATGTAAATACTGCAAAATTCTTGTCATTGTAAACTGACAAATATGTCCTCCATTTAATGCATAGTACCCCAGAGGAAGCATTACAAATTGAGAATTTTGCTGTGCACATAGTTTTCAATATACAGTATTTGATATTTTGATTGGGCCTGCATTAGTTATGGTCCAATTTAAGGTATAAGCCTCTAGGGAATGAATGCAAGTCAACAAAATGCTATAAAAAACGTGTGGCGTGTGTGTGTTTGTGTGTGTTTGGATTACACTGTGCTTTGTGGTGAATGAATTGTGGCGGACTGTCGCTGTCAGTGTTATCAGTACCAGGGTTTATCGGGGTTCCCTAAGCTGCTCAGGGGCTGAGTTTGAGTGGTTTTGTAGTTCAGCTTGCACGTTATTACACCTGAATTGTAGTGTGGATGTGACAGGTCTGACTATTGCCTGGGGAATGTGCAGAAAATGGATAGAACAAAGGAAAATAGGATCACAGCATAAGGCCACAGCAGAAGGAAAATGATGGAGCACAGAACTGTGTCTCTGAAACCAGATCACATTGGGAAGAAAGTGTTCATATAAGTATGTGCTGACCAGTACATACACATAATGTGTAATCTTGCACACAGTGTAGAAGCAGAAAAATTCAGATGCAAAGAAAGGATTTAGGCCTTGTTAGATGCTCTTGGTGCTGCATCATATTTTCATGATATAGTATAGATATAGATAAGTGCACTGCTCAGTGATAATGTAGTTATGTGGTGTCATCATATAAACATACTCAGCATTGTAGTGATATTATAATTAACATATTTACTTGATATTTTATATCAGCCCATTTCCCCACGTTGTGTACTTTTGATCTGGAGCTGTTTTTCATGGTTTGGGCTAAG